TTGCCCTCTTGTTATTAATTAAAAAACAGCACAGTGGGGTTATAGCTATAATAAGTATAGATAATAGGGTTCGTGAACGATGGATTCAATATCGTACTGAATTTTAGCAATATTAAAAAAAAATGATCTCAAAATCGTGATATATCGATATCGTATGAAAAAATAAATCGATATCAAAAAAAAATTAAATTTAAAATTTAAATGCTTTTTTCAAGAATAGCTTTAGGTTACCCAATCAAATCAGATAATGATATTAATATCACAAATATATATAATAACTATATCTCATAACGATAATAAAATATTTTCAAATTTCTTTTTATTATGAAGAAATACGTTTTTTTTGTTACAAGACTTTATCATTATATATTGGTTATATTGAATGGATGAAAATGTTCTTTATTGAATAATAGAATTATAGTTTCAGTGTTTTGGTTTTAAATTATAATAATAAAAAAGATTAGAAGTGCTATTTATATTTTTTTGTCATAACTGAAAACAATTTTTCTTCTTTTCAAAATTAAAATTTAAACTTTTATAGAATAAAAAATCATCAACTTCATCACCATAATCTAATAGGGATTTTTTTTGGGCTCAATAATTTCATTTTATTTTTGAAATTGAGTTCAACCAGTAGTTGTATATCTTTTAATTCTGAAATGTATTTTTCTAATCCTCCTCATACATTAAATTGTTCGTGTTTTGTTAAAAATAGAAATAACAATAATATCATAATAAATAACCTAATCTAAGAATACAGTTTTTTTTATTAAAAATGTTTTTTCGATTACTACGATATTTCAAAAATATTCAATTACATGGGAAAAATGAAATAAGGCGACGAAATTGATATTGAATCGAAATATCGATATCGTTGACGATCCATAATAGATAATTTCTAAGAGCGATTAAAATCACGACCATAAAAATAGTTTCGATGCAAATCTATTAAATTTCACAATAATTTGTGCATTTATAATTTCTATGTTTTAAGATTTTACTTAAATATTAAATATTTTATTACTTGTTTACTTGAAAGTAAAATTTTCTGTTTTGAAAAAAACATGATTTATTTTTATAATTGTAGGTAGTCTCTTTCAAAGCCTTCCAGTACTCAGGTTCTTCATTCAATTTTTATAAAAATTGTATCAAAAGAATACTTGTGGTTTTTAATTTACTGTATTTAAACTTCATTTGAATAAAATTTTGTAAAAAAAGTTATAGCAGTTTTAAAATAAAAACAATTTTTTTTTAAATGTCGTTTTTAGGGTAACGTAGTTATAATATAATATTCAAACTGTTTTTAATGAAATATATAAATATTTTTGATGGAATATGTTAAATAAGGTACGGGTTTTCAGTTTTAACATATTTGTCAATATTGGTCATTTAAACGGAACACATACTAATTGAAAAAAAGTCGGTCATGAAGTATTATTGCTAGCTTGTCACCACCACGATTGAAATAATATTAGTTAAAGTGTTAAGCATATGATTTGGGATCATAGACGGATATTTGGTTGAATTTTTTTTTTTTTTTGGAGAGGGTTAGAATAATTCTTAGCAGTGGGATTTGCTCCCGCATCTTCTATCAGTCATAAAACAATATTTCATTAATAATATAAACCAATATTAATGCATAATAAAATACTTTTAATAATAATTTTTACTTTAATAAAATATATCTATGTCTATTTTCAGTCTTTTCAATAAAAACTGATGAACTACGTCATAATTATAGACTTTATTCAACTTTTATTAAATTGTAAGTGTATAGACTCAATTTTTTCTCTATTTTTGAAAACTATGATTTTATTTGAAAAATTAATCCGATTTATTATTTATTTTTAATGAATCAATGTACTCATTAAAATTACAAGAGAGAAATATTATTTTTTGAAAACAAAACGCAGAACGAACAACAAAGAAATACGGGTATGATGTTTTAAGAACCGTTTGTAAAACTATAATTTAAAATTAACAACTACTTTGAAATTCATTATAGTTCATTATATTTATTATTATCACGTTATAGATAAGATGTACCTACTTATAAACGTTTTGTATTTTTCTTTACATCAATTAAATGTTAAAATAATGTACAAGCAAATCAATTGTGTTACATTTTTCATAATATATACATTCACTTAATAAGTTTTGATTTAATGAATATTTTAATTAAACTTCTAATTGTTAGTTACTTTTCATTTATTAAATTGATAGTGAAAATTAAACTAAAGTTATAAATATTACTTGCATAACTTTTTTCACGATACAAATGATGAACCATGTTATTTTAAGTCAACATATGTCCTAAAATAGTATTTCATAAGACGAAATTACTGCGCCTTTACTCTTAGTATGGTATTGCTACAATGTATTATAAAGGGTTTTTCAATAGGGACGCTACAAAAGTAAACCGATAGGGACAGCAAACGATGCTATATTTTTTCCCGCTCTCTTGACATTTCTCTTCAGTAAGGTTTGCCATTTCATCATGGAAAGATATACGATCCAACAACGAGTCGAAATTATTAAAATTTACTACCGAAATTCGGAGTCAGTGGCCTCAACTTTAAGAGCGCTACGTGCAATTTATGGTCGTCATAATCGTCCTGCCAGATCAACAATTGAGTGTCTAGTGGAAAAATTTGAATCCACAGGCACAGTACAAAATGTTCCCATGCCAGTGAGACAAAGAAGTGCCCGTTGTGTCGAGAATATTGCTGCCGCTAGCGCATCAATTGAGGAAGACCCAAATCAGTCTCTCACACGACGTTCTCAAGAGTTGGGCGTATCTGTGACGTCGTTGTGGCGAATTTTGCGAAAAGATCTTGGCCTACATCCTTACAAGATCAAATTGACGCAAGAACTGAAGTCGCTTGACCACCAGAAGCGTCGTATGTTCGTGAATTGGGCTGAGCAACAACTTGAAAATGATCCGGATTTTCATCGAAAAATCATCTTCAGCGATGAGGCTCATTTCTAGCTGAATGGCTTCGTCAATAAGCAAAATATGCGTTATTGGTCAGGCAGCAATCCACACGTACTCCATGAGTCACCATTGCATCCCGAAAAAATTACGGTTTGGTGTGGTTTATGGGCCGGCGGCGTCATTGGGCCGTACTTTTTCCGTGATGATCAAGACCGGCACGTTACTGTGAATGGGAATCGCTACCGCTCAATGATAACCGAATATTTTTGGCCCGAATTGGATGATATGGACTTGGACATAATGTGGTTTCAACAGGACGGCGCCACAAGCCACACAGCGATTGTCACAATCGATTTATTGAAAACCAAGTTTGGTGAACGTGTTATCTCACGAAATGGCCCAGTCAATTAGCCGCCTCGGTCGTGCGATTTGACGCCGTTAGACTATTTCCTGTGGGGCTACGTCAAGTCTATGGTCTATTCCAACAAGCCAGCGACGATTGATGAACTTCGTACGAATATCGAACGTGAGATTGCAGCAGTATCGGCCGATTTATGCTTGAAAACCGTCGAAAATTGGGTTCAGCGTCTGGACTTCTGCAAGCGTGCCAGTGGTGGCCATGCAAAAGAAATCTAGTTCCATACATAATGGCATCGAATGTACTTTCACATGAATAAAGAATTTCATTGATATCCAAAACCGTTTTTGATTTATTTAAAAAAAGTTTTGTAGCGTCCCTATTGAAAAACCCTTTATTGTAGATCGTTGAAATTCGTTTTATTGTAAAAAAGAATTCAGTTACTATTATAAAAATATGCTACACAAAGACTTAAATTACATTTTATAAATCACGAGAATTAAATTTATGCGTTGGTAAGACTGAAATTATTTAAATTCTCATTTCTAAATTTTTATCCATTAAGCTTATTTTAAAATATGTCAATGCAACATTTTTTTAACACATACATAGGGCCGGATTTAGGGGGTAGGGGGACCCAGGCTCTTACTAAAGTCCACACACGAATATTTTTTTATTTTTTAAAAATATATTTTAATGAATCATGTGCTTTAATATCTAAATATAATAATTATTTGCTATAAAATTGGTGATGATAAAAAATTTTTGTAGATTATAACTTTGAAAATTAAAGTAATTATATTTGTCTGTTAATTATTCAATTTTTGTTTCAATTGATTAGTATTTTTTTTTGGTATAAACTTTTGAATATTTAAAGTCATAAATTATTTATGGTATTTGAATTCATGAATTTTTGGGCTAAGATATCTTGGTATATATATATATTTGGTTAGCCAGGTGCCCCCACATTCTTAAATCATATACTATATATCAATTGATGTCTAAAAATATGTATTCAATGTAATTTAAAGGTTTTTGTTATTAATTTTATAGTAGTATGACATGTACAGAATTTTTTAAATATAATATTATTGATTCATTTTTTTGAGATTAATATAATATTAAATGTCATTAAAATATTGAAAAATATATTGTTATAACATAATATATAGTTAGAAATTTCGACTAACTGTAAATTAAAAACAACTTGCCCATTGGTTTATTGCACGTGTGTAGCAAAATTGCCTATCGTTTACGCCGTCTTTATATAAAAATCGCTTCATTATAGAATTTTTGTTGTAATAGTTTAAGTTATTTATGAAATTCGACGCACGATATGCTGATTAATTTTAGTTATACTTATTTCACTGTATCATATTATGGTTTATGTTTGTTGTTTATTCAAGACTCTTTTATATTTTTTATAGGTCTGAGAACAAGTAATTATTTTTATTTAGATTTAAATTGCATAATGTACAATTTTGTATGATTTATATAAGTATATTATAATTTAAAACATATTGATTTTATACAATGTATTTACACCTCTAATATATTAATTTTTGATTACTAATGGAATGTACTTTCTGTGGTAATTTTCTAATACATATTTAAAAAGTTACAAATATTATAACAATTTTTATGACTCCATCCGTATGCTTATAAGTCTAGTATTAAAATATATACATTTATTTCGAAATGTGTGTGTTGGATCATCTACGATTGTCCGGCGCACGATGTAAAGAACGCTACCAGTGGTGTATAGAGTCTGGAGACCGCGCATTGTCTATTTGTCAGACACACGCCAGTCAGTCGCTTCACCGGACGCGCCGAAGCCGGTACGATTTACATTGATTTAATGTTAAAAACGTGTTCTCTTCATTCGTAAATTCACTCCTACTGTAACATGTCTTATTCATTTTACAATAGTGGTTGAAGTCTAAGAAGTCATAAACATTAAGGTAAATTTAAACGCCCGAAATAGAGGGTTATGATACTACATATTATTTATGAATATTTCTAAAAGAAAATCAATACTATAAATTAATCTATCAATTTTTAATGTTTTAACAAATTTTATAAAATTAGTGATATTTAATTTTTAACAAGGCGATTCGTTTGGCCTTAACAACATTTTAGTTGCATTTGGAGAATAGAATTTTAGCAAGTGTAGTTTTACATACTTTTGTTTGAAGCTTAAAAAAAAAAAAAAATGAAGGTTCAGATCCAATAAAATTGTTTTGAAAATAATCGCAAGATTTAATAAAAATGATCTCGAGAAGTGATCAACCTAGTTTTACGTAATCCAATTCCAATTATAAACCATTAAAAAGTGTTTTTTATTATTACTAAAAAATAAGTTTTAAGTTTTTACTTTATTACTGATGTAATTTTTGTATATGTTCATCAGCAGAAAAATGTCGAGGGCTAGACATGAAACGTTCACAGCAGAATATTGTTCTGGAGAAACAGTCACGCTGTATAGTCAACAGCACCATGCAAGAACTAATCTACAAGCGCATGCCAACATTAGCAATGTTCCTTTAAACCAAAGTAATGTTGTATAGCTTAACTGGTAGATTTATTAGTTTTTAAAACATTTATTTATTTATTTTAATCATCAGTTCCTTAAGAATTTGTCATGAGGGAATTTAGATTTAAGAAGACCTAGTGACAAATGTTTAACTATTTTACACCCTCTCTTACATTGGTTTTATATACCTTGAATTCTTCCCCATATACAACTCATTGTTAATTATGTTACTAAATTTATTTCTCAGTATTTTAAAACACCTTAACGACCCGCATGGATAGTTAATTTTTGAAATTGATTATATCTTATCATGTATAAAAAATGTCGTATTGTTATACTTTATCTTTTTTATTTGTTGCTTTTATAAACTATTCAATTATATATATATTTTTTTATCATTCAAAATAATAAAGATTTAAATGTTTATTTTGAAATTATTTTTCATTAATACATTTTTACTGTATACGTCATCAGTAAGCAAAATGATTATTTGAAAAAATTCAATTTTATAGGAAAGGCAAAATAAATGTATTAAGCTAAAGGTCGGTAGCATTTTGTAAGAGTATTTTGTAATTTAAAATTTAATTAGCTTTCCATCTTTATTACTAGGAATTTTCTGATAAAAAAATGAGATTTTCTAAAATTATTAGCTTTAATTACATGGTGGTTTATATATCAAGAAATACCTATAATTAAATATTTAAAAACCAAACCAGCACAATGGAGTTGAGGCGCAATGAGAATATGGCATAGTTGGGGTAAGTGTAGATGATATTTGATGATTTTATGATGATATAGATTTCATTGCAAAACTGTAAAAAGTTTTTTATTTTAAAAAGAAATTATTAAATTATTTAAAACAAAAAATAAAACCTAAACGACCCATTTCCTTAATTATATCTTGATCATAAGTTTTATATATTGTAAGTGTAATAGACGAAAAAAATTTTATTATCGTAATTAAAGTTAGTATAAAATTGATATTGAATAATTGTTTATTTTACAGAAAAATTAAAAAAAAATTATTAAGTTGTCGTAACTAGGATAATTCGTTTGACATTAGATACTAGATTTTTTTTAAAAAATAATTATATTAAGAAAATTCTTTTTGAAATTTTTAATTTTATATATTTTTTAATTATTTAATTATCAAGTTTTTTTTAATTCATCCCTAATAATGGTGTAAACATTATGGTTTTAATGGAAACGCATACATTTACTAGATAATAAATAAAAATGACTGTTTGATAACAGTTTTTGAAATAGAACTTCAGAAGTTATTGACATTTTAAATAATAAAGTCGAGGTAAAGCTCAACAGAATAATGTGTAATGATAAAAATATTGTAACCTACACCTCACTTCTACGCTATATTTTAAAGTAGCTTATAACTTTCGAAATAAATAGAAGTTATTAAATAGAAGTTATAAAAGATGAACCAAAATAATATTTTATAATTAGTGAATTAAGAAATATATGAAATTAAAAAATACTAGAAAATACTAGAATATAGATACTAGGTATCTAGAACTATTTTATGGTAAAAGTCGACTCCCGTTCTTTTAATATAAATTTCAACTAACATTAAAAGTTGCAAAAATTTTCCCTGAAATTATTTGTAACTAACACTTATTTTATTTTTATAATTTTTTTTTGTTATAGAGGATGTTAGTTGAAGTACAAACCCCCGCCTCTTACAGAAGTTTACTGTTTAAAAATATAGCAAAAATAATGGAAATAGAATATTATAACACGAAAACCTGTTATTTTTTACACTAAAATAAAATTTATTGTTTTACTTAGGTAAAACATAAAAGATAAGTTGTATTTTTTTAACATAAAGTAATTAATACAAGGATTAATTTAAAATATGTTTCATGTTCAAAGGATTTCTGGGTTATTTTCAAAAGTTACGATAGTGAAAAAAAGCCAGCACAGTGGGGACGTGACATAATTAGGATGAGTATATATGATATTTGACAGTGATTAAACTTACTATCATAAAAATTTCTTTGTTGTAAATCTATAGATAGTGATTAATTTAAAAAAATTGATGGATTATTCCAAAAGATACATGATATCCTATTTCCTTATTTATATTCCAATTAAAAGAGAATCATAATGAATAACAGATTTTTCAAAAAGTTATATCATTATAAAATTTTTTTTTTACAAAAATCGAATTTTTTTTAGTAATTTTGATATTTATTTTCACTATGATAACAAACTTAATTTTGAAATTTTTTTTTTCCATAATAAAGTATATTACATTAGATTTAATTTAAAATATATATAATAGTATCAGTATTTCCGGAACACTTTCAAAAGTTAAGTTGAATAAGTTGTCATTTAGAATCCCTCCCTGTGAGCAAGTAAAGGGTCAAATTTATAAAAAAAATACATCAAATGATAGGTAAAAACATTATGCATCTCTTAAAAAAAATTATATTGATTTGTTCATTTTTGAAAAAGTTATGATAGTTTTAAGAATAAAAAGTGAAAAAATGACGAAAATTAGCGATTTGAAGATCGGACTATTTCAGAAACATTGTCAAATTTAAGTTGAAAAAGTTATTTTTTTTTTAAGCAAAAATTGCGGTTTGTAATCTCACTTTTTAAGCAAGTTAAGAGTAAGATTTTATTAACTTAATATCGTATGAAAGAAAAATTCTTAAGGTATTAATAAAAAAAATTGTTTTAATTCATTCATTTTTAAAAAAGTTATGTCTTTATTAAGAAAAAAATATAGACATTTACCGATTTGAAAAATCATAATTTTTATTGTGATCTTTTGACGTATTATTAAAAATATCGATCCAGTAAGAGCTAAGGAAAAGTGTCGACAGACACCGAAAAAAAAAAAGAATTAAATAAAACATTATAGTAAAATTAATACCTTCTTAGTTTCGTATTGAAGCTAGTAAGTAAACAAATTTATTTACTTCATTCAAATAAGACACATATTATTTCTTCATTTATTATTTTTAGATATTTGTTTTCTAAATGTCTATGTCTAGTATTGATGAATTATTGGTTACCTATTCTTAACACTTCTATTGAGAGATAATTTTAGTAATGCAACACTCACCTCTGAATGCAGCCGATATGAGAATGCTAAGGTGTATGTGTGGAGTGACTAGAGACGATAGGAAATAGGAAATCGTGGATAAGATGAGAGAAAATAGACTTAGATGATTTGGTCATGTTATGAGGAGAGAGAAATTGGAAGCTCTAAGAATGTTATAGAAATGAATGTTGAATGTTGAAAGAAGAGGAAGAAGAAGACCGAAAAAGAAATGGAAGGATGTAATTGAATGTATATGAGGACAGCTGATGTGAGTGTAGATGATTTGGGGATCGTGTTCAGTGGAAGTTTAGGATAAGGGTGGTTGACCTCAAGTAGTTGGGATTAAGGCAAGGAAAAAAGAGGAAGAAGAATGAACTCAAATTGTTTCTTGCTAAACTTATCCAAAATTGATTTTGACTATAAAGTTTGAAATATTAGCTGGATATTATTATTAAATAATATATTAAGTATTTTAAGGTGATATGTGTTTAGGTGTTCAAAATACCATCAACGATAATGTTTTTGGTTAAATTTCCCAATCAATGATATATCCAGAAGAAAAATAATGAATTAAGCTTTATTGGCTCTATTATGCATAAATTTTAGTTAAATAACAAAAAAAAAAGTAATATGCATTAATATTTCCTATTAAAATATTTTGGATATAACATTGATTCCACTACTATCAAAAAATGTTTATGGCAATACAATTATTTACTAATCATATAATTAGTAGAAATTGGAGCTAATATTTATTTACAAATCATTAAAATAAACAAATCTTTTAATCGTAGCGTTTAATTACATTTCAGAAGGAGAACCAATTAAACTACCGGATAACTTAGAAAGTTTACCACGCGCTGAAAATTTTCCTATCCAAAGGCATCGTTGGAACACTAATGAAGTAAGCGTTGTATAACTTTAAAAATAATGGCATTGCAACCATGTAATTATAATTATATGATAAATAACAACGACTTATTATAAAAATTATTTATAGTTATTTATTAAGCAAATTATTCAGATGTCTGTTAATTATAAGAGTTATATTATCATAATTAAAGATTAATTATACTCATAATAATAATGATATTATACTGAGATATCTTTAATTTTTCCTATTATTTATAAGGAATGAAGAATAGTAAAAGAATATTATTTAATATTTGACATTATTGAAATAATATTTAAGAAAAAGGGAATAGCCAGTGCGTAAAGTTAGTATACATTTTATGATTAAGTTATAGCTCAAAAAAATATTGATTAATACGTTTAGACTGAACTATATTGATGACCTATAAAAAAATGTAGAAGCCACATTAATGTGGCTACTACAATTGTGGTGCTGAGTAATTATGACACATTGTTCCATATACAAAAGCGAATTAAAGTTGAAAGTTTTATTTCAAAATTCCTAAAAAAAATTTTAATTTTAATATGAAAATGAATGCAAACATTTTCCTAGTTTTTATATAAATTAAATACCCCAGTCATTCAATTGATAAAGGACACATGTTCATTATATTTTTAAATAATTTTTTTTTCTCATTAAATTAATTTAGAATAAATAAAAAAAAAAACAAAATGCATGGAAATACCTTATATTGCACACTGTATTTTAAATAAAAATATTAGAACCTTCTGTTTAATAAAAGATAATGTTTTTTTATTTTTACTGATAGAATTTATAGTAACTCAAAATGGATATAAAATTATTTGTAGGTGGTTTTGGTATGATGATGATTGAGTTACTATATATTTATTAAATGAAATTATATTATACAATTTTTTCTTGGAATATGAGTACGAGAGTTTTATGAGAAGATGTAAAATATAGAAAAAAAAGTATTGTAATTAAATATTACACTTCAAGTATCAATAAAGTACCAGTAGTTATGTGTTTATTGTAAGTCGTGCAATAAATACATTGAGTAATATAAGTACTATATGTAGGTTCTCTATCTTCGCAGGAGAGTCTTTATTTGTATTGACCACATAGGTAACCCACTCAAAGGTTGGACTAGGCTGGATAACTTTGTATAAACGTTATCGATTATATTTATTTAAACAATATTTTATTATTTCATTACTAGTAATTACTTCATTGTACTCATTATACAAGACTTTAAACTATATAATTCTTCTGTGAAATGTAAGTTTATCTTCGTAATATTGAAAATAAGGTAGAAATAAAATATACTACTTAAAATAACTGTTATGTCACAACTAAAGAGTTCTTTATAGTCATTACATTAGGTTTTTATCAATGCATTTTTATATTTTTTTCTCGTAATAGTCTAAAAGATTCACATGAATAATATATATTTAATTTTATGACTAATAGATAATGTTTTATAGACTACTAAATAATGAGTGGTGTGTGTATTATAACAAGTTATTAAAATACATTTTTTAATAATTTGTATAAAAAATTTAAGTTGGGTAAATTTGATACAAAGAGCTTTATTGAGCATGTTGGGAACAGTTTTTTAACGGCTTTATTTTGTGTTATACATTTCAGTCTCTATAAACGTAATCTTAAGGTTATTTATATTATAAAAAAAATATAGCCAAAGCTTTTGTTGATTTATATTGTATTAATATCATTTAACTAAAGCTAAAAAAAAGTAATTTTAATACAAAACTCTTATTTTTTAAGTACATATTTTATAAACTTGAAATTCATGAGTATAAAAAATATTTTTAAGGAATATCTTTATATCCTATTGTTATATATAGATAAAGAATGAGGACTTGAAAAATTTAACAGAAAAGATGAGCTTCTTTTCCCTTGTTGCCTCTTTTATGTTCCTACTCTTAGTCTTGTGTTGTATTGCTGGTAGAATATAAAACGTCTAAATTCATCGGATTTCATACTCTATTACACTTCTACTCTCCTCAAATCTATCTTTAACTCACCCCTTTATGGTTACTGACGTGCCTTCTACACAATTCAATTCAATTTTTTATCCATCAGGTTCGTTTTCCCCGCATTTTCCTAATGATTCCTTACTTGCTCGCCTATCACAACTGCTGAGTATAATAATATTGTGTATGGAATAAATTATAATAATCGAATATTTATAAGCTTATAAAAAATCGGTAATTGTGCATATTCTTATAATTATTTATAGTGTACAATACTATAAAAGATATGATATATATCTGTGATTACAATGTCTAGTGGTTTTTGATTACATTTCCGTAATATTATAAAAATATTTTAATCATAAATGTGATTTAAGTATAATTTTTTAGATTAGTTAAATTATTTGTAATACCATCAACCAAAGAGGCTAAATTTTATTTTTTATATACATTATTTAATAATATTTAATAATAATAGAGCATTCGCAAAATGCTATAACATAAATATATATAATCTTATTTGGTACACTAAATGCTTTGAATCCAACTAATAATTATTGTTAGCATTTTAGTGTTCAATTTAAAATTTTTTTCTAAGAGATGCTCTTAGTAATGGAGCAAGCAAAAACAAATTTTTTGTCATATTATTATAATATTACTAAAAAAAGGGGGTTTTAACTCAATATTAAATAAAACATTGAGTCAATTTTCGAAAATAGCTACATTTTCATTGTCAGGAGGAGTTAGTGCTCCTCAGATGCATACCTGGATTAAACTCTGTATCAATTATAATATAGTTATCTTCTCATTTTGTATTCAACATATATTTTTATAGTTCGATTTAATAATAATTTACTAAAAATAAGTATAGTATACAAATAAATATTTTATTCATAAAATGATTTGTCATCGTTTGAAATACAAACAGCGGTTTACGATCAGTATACATTGATATTAAGTATAAAAAGTTAATATTTAAAATGAATCAAAATTGCTGAAGGGATTGAAAACAATGATGTAGCACCTACATTGGGAAATAAATTGATTTCCTCTCTGCCATTTGAAACGAACCCGGAAATATCACCGTCTCTCAAAAACATTTGCAATAAAATAGTTTTATTTGCTCTCTATGCTTCATCATAACCCTTTTTCCTTTCAGACTCCGTGTCGCTTAGGTTCCTTTTTTATAAATATAAATAATCAATTTTTTTATTCGTTTCACTCAAAGTACTATGTTTCAAATATAATCAATTTTGATTTCGTGAACAGTCTAATTTTATATCAATTTACCCTTTTAACGTACATTATATAAATCAATCTTAATATATATAAAAATAAGAATGTAAAAAATGGCCATTGTACATTGTATATTATCAAATAGCTGTTAAAATATATAAGTGATTTTATTGGTGTTTTAAAATTATAGTTTGTATGATTAGGCCATTATTAATGAAATTTTAGTAAAAACAAAAATCAAAGCGTAACATCTAAACAAAAATTATATACAATAAGAAACGTAGAAAAGTTTAAATCTATTTATTTATTCAAAAGTAATATTACACTTGAAGTTCTAAGAGTGGCCCATCTCTGTAGTTTTTAAAAATAGTTAAATACCATAAGAATTAGTTTATTATGATGACTTTCATGAAAAAAATCAAATATTTCATGTCATCGAATGTGATCATATTTAGTTATTATTACAATATGTAAATTAACTTAAAGTTATAATTATTATCAAAAAAAAATATCAATAACTTATGTGGTTTATAATAAGCAATACAAATTAATACTCTCTTTTATTTGACGTACGCAGCAAAATAATCATTAAAAACAAAGTATTTTTTTAGTTCCAATAAAACACGAAACGATCGTCTTTTAAGGATTTATTCGCCGTAAATAAATGTATAAGTTTTAAAAGTAAAATTTAATAACGATGTTTACGACAATTTGATTAAATCACTATGAGTTATAAATAGAGTTTCAAATTTTATGTGTTAACTTAGTAATATTAGGTCACGAGGTTATGACCTTGGGTCGTTCACTGTTAGCACCATTAAAGATCCACGAGAAATAAAGGTAACGTAATACACCATGTTGTGTTAAGACACAAAGCGATCGCTCCTCCTCCGTTTTCTACTCACATACTCGTATATATTTTCCCGTTGGTCTCCGACCTAAATCAATACCAAATCCTGCGAGTTTATATCACAATAATTTTTAGTTATCCATTGTTTTTCTTTCTCAGTGCATTAACTTTAATATTGACATACATGTATTTTCTTTGTATCAATTATAAAACGTAAAATTATTTAGAAATTTCTGTTGCTTAAAAATAGTTAATGAAATTTTTTTTACAATTTAACAAAAAAATCTTACTGAAAAACTAAAAAAAAAAATAATTCGTTTAAATATATAAGAAATCATTAAAATTATTTATTTTACACAAAACTCCTAAAGGTATAAAATTGAATTATAATCTATTATTGATTTTTACAGCATATTTAAGAGTTTCAGAGTAGAAATTCGTACTTATTTTACTGTTTTTTAGTATATGAGTTAAGGGCTCTAGTAAACGAAAAGGTAATATCTAAACAATTTTTAGTTTGAATATGAACACAATCAAGTTAAAAATTATTTCTTTTTTTTCACAGGAACATGTTTTATTATTATTAATCTATAAGAATTTTTTAAAGTAAATTTCTAATTGAGTGAGATAAATAAAATATATTCTTCAAACACGTAAACGTCTCAATATTTGATATCGAAATGTTTTATCTTAAATTGCGCTTCATCAAGGTTGTGAACATTTAATTATTTTTAAAATTTTTCATTATAACTTAATAAAATACCTGTAAACAATACTTTTGTTACTTAAATGGCTATACGATAAAAATCAAATAAAAATAAATATAAATGTAAAAAGGATAATTATTAGTAACATGTTCACACGATTTGTAGACGGCAATGTTGCATTCGGTATAATATGTGTCATTACATGATACAACATCATACTGTATATAGTTTGCAAATGTTAATATAACTTTTTATCTACAATATAATAAATCATTTTTTAAAGGCTTTTACTTTTTATAAACTTGTTCAAACCTTCACGTTATTGTAAATTCCGACAGATATATTTTATTGATATATCGTGACGAGTAATTTATTTAAGGAAACTTTTTTATACATATTTTTCTTTAGTTAACTACAAACAACTAATTTTATGAACTAGATTTTCAATCTTATACATAATTAGTTCTTACGAAATTCGCGTTATTATGTTAAATCGACGTACAATCATAAAGTTCAAAAAATACAATATCTTTATAGTTTGCTCATTATTTTAATGATTTGTATTTATAATCTATTTTATATAATCAAAACTAAAGTTGGTTATAAAAAATATCATACATGACATGAATGTGTTTGTACTTTTATAATTTTAAATTCCATAAATACGGAATAGTCAGATAAGTGATTTCTATAGTAAAATATTAATTTCTGTACTCCACTATTTATTAATAGTATATTTATTCTAAATAATGTCATCATATAAAATTGTTTTACATTTTATATATATTCAAAAATTAAGGGGTATATTTTTCTAAAACTTTGTTATAAATAAAAAAATTATATCTATATAATTTTTTACTTCATTAAATTGTATTGATGTACAAAAAATATATTATATTGGTTATTTAATTAACTTGAATTGACTTATTCCCTTTAGTTTTTAACGTAATTCTTCAAAACTTCATTAGTCATTTTTTTTTATATAATAAAAGCCCAAAGAATTCCATAACCCTCAAACACCCACTATGGTTTCATGTTTGAACTTGAGAGTTGGATATATTTGATTATAATTTTTAGTATTATTAGGACAACAACTAGAAGGCGTTAAAGAGGGAAATGTTTTTTTATAATAAACGACACACAAGTCTTGGAAATATTTTCTGTGGCAATGATAGATGGGTTACGAATCTCATTTAAATATCTTAAACGAGCTCCAGACGTCTGCGAACTCTTTAATATCACTGTGTGTTCCGGATCCTAACGGCCATTATTATTATTATTTCACTAAGTCCGACGGCGACTTTTTGTTTTAATATTCGATAGACGTATAAATTTTTTTTATTTATTTTAACTGAACAATGTAATTATCGGCGTAATTTACTAAAAAAAATAACGAACACGCGATGTTTTGTATTCTAAAAACGTGGGCTTAATCGGTTTTGTTTGTCAGTTATCTTATGCTTAAATGTTATAAATGTTTACTTAGACAAATGTTACAAGTTCGTTTCATATGGTGTTGTTTATATTTATATGGTGTGAAAATTAAAAAATTAATACGAGGTTTTTTATTTATTAGTATTAAATGCAACAGTCTAGGTGCAATTTATTACCCAAGCTTGAAAATGTCCGATGCATATATAACCTTAAGGTCAGACTATGTAGGGTCAGAAAATCGTGGCTTAGTTACTTCGCTTGTTTTATCGGGTGTAAAAGGGTCTAATAGTAATCTTCTCTCTTGAGATGTTGAAACAAACCGCAAAAATACAAATACGACTTAAAATTAAAAATAAAGTGGTATATTAAAGAAAAAAATAACAATATACTTTTGAAGAAGGAATAGTATTTTTTTTCTAGAAACTATATTCATGTTAAAATATATATTATGAATTATTATAAAGTTAGTTATAATTAATTTTAATGTTGTTTGAAACATTTCTATATAATATTACTACACTTTTTTTGTTATTTTTGAGATTTATTGAAATTTACTTATGCGTTAATATAGGAAATTATTAGTTAGACGAAGTAATAAAACGTGTACAATATTTTTTCTTTTGGTACTAAAAAAAATCGTACTGAACTCTAAATTTAAATGTTATACAAATTCTATTATTCAATTACAAGTAGTAATTTACTGTTAACATTTCTGTACGTGGAGGTTTCAAACAAATTATACATTTAAAATTAGTGATATTGTATACCTATACATGTTTTGAAGGAAGGAAATGTAGAAATCTATCCGTCAACCAAACCCCGTTCATTTGACTGGAGGCTTACCGTTTTAAAAAATCTAATTAATTGAAAAAAAAACAGAAATATTGTATATTATACATAATATTTTTGAATACATTTACTTTGTAAAAATAACAGTGACGACCTAAAATTTAACTTTTTCGTTTTAAACAGAACTAGAGGAAGTGTAGTTGGCATTTACGTTTTCCTTTATAGTATACTCACTTAATCCTTTTGTACACTGACCATCGCAACTTTTTACATAGCTTGAAGCTTGTGTATTTTATTATGTCTACATGGAGCTTATACTATTTAGGTCTTTATATAATTTATAGGCATGCTTATGTTACTGTTGATAATTGCATTAAATATAAGAGAAAAGTAACGAGATTGGTAATTTATTTTAAATTTACAATTACGAATGCTATATCTCTGAAAAGTACTCATTAAAATAGAATTAAAAAAGGAATGTTTTATATTAAAAAAAGTAACCGTTTATATTAGATTTATAAAGATATTTTAAGATAAAATAAATTTTTTTTTTATTTTTATGTTAACTTGATATTTTATGAGTCATTTGCCTAATTAGTTTAAATAATTGGTGGCCCGCGCGTAAACTATGTATATTAAATGTATGGAACATAATTCAGGGAATAAGATTTAAAGTCTCTAGGGACTAATTTTCCAGAGTACTTAATATTTTGTCAACAATATACAACAGGGAATGAGCTATTGTTAAGTGGTTAATGTTTAGCAATAAAATAGAGCTCAAATTCATACATGACTAATGATTTTATATATTTTTAACTTAAGTAACACTATTAACATAGTAATCCTTCTTTTATATACAGCGCTGAATGTTGGGAAAAAGGTCATCAAACAATTTTTACTGTACTACTATTTAGGCAATTAAAAAATAATGTTCATGCACGACTAAAAAATTTAAACATTGATTTTATTTATGAAAATATCTTAATCTTGAATTATTTATAAAAGTACTGAAATATCAATACTTAGAAAAAAACACTTAATTTTAAATAAAACTTTTGTTTATAAAAAACACAAATTAAGTAATAACATATTGAATATTAAAATAATTTATTTAACCTGACACAGAAAACAAATTAATTCCCCATTATTAATAACAAAATGTAGCATGTAAAGTCTTATTGCTTTATATCTGGTTAAAAGTCGTCTGATAACCGTCTAAAAAACCCCTGCGAAACTTAAGGGTTTTTGACTATTTAATAGTAAAATGTATTTATTATTTTAAGCTATTTTATAAATTACGTGAGATATATATTAAGGATTATATTATACTTTTATTAGTTGCTTTATCATAATATAATAATTATCTAGAAGTGACTATATGTATCATAAAATGTTGGCTCATATTTATATGAGTGGTTTCAAATTAAAGGGGCTCATTGAGATCCTCTCGGAAGCTCGCCTAGTTTATCATTATAAAATGTATTAATTATTTTTTAATTAATATTATAATAAATTATCTTTTTGTGTACCAAATTGAATAAAAAATGTATTTTTTGTATTTAATAGTGAATAATTATAATTGAAAATTATTTTAGGAAATTGCAGCAATATTAATTAACTTTGAAAAACACAACGAATGGCAATCAAAAGAAGTAAAAATCAGGTATATTTTATCATTTTATTTAATCTTTTTTTCCAGAGACAAAAGATATAAATTTAAACAATAATTAATATAGTATTCAATACTTTAAATTATAATTTAATTTCTTAATAAATTAAATCTATGATGAGTATTGTCCAATATTATCAATAGTTTTATTACTCACAAAGTTGTTTTACATTAAAAAAAAAATATTCATAATTTTATGTAATAAAAATAAATGCGAATTATATAATATAAATAAATATGGGTAAACGTATGATACGGGAAGATGAAAGATTGGTGATCACCATGTTAATTAATAATTTTAATTAAATGAAATGTAAATAAAAATTAAAAAGTAATTGAGTGTTTTGAGTTATTGTATTAAACATATTATTAGTTAAAATACTCATTCTAAAAATTAATAACATTTTTTTAAATAGTGTAAAATTACATTAACTTTTATGCAAAAAGTAATCTTATTTTTGTAAAAAAAAATAGGCCTAAAAGTGGTTCGATGCTTTTATATAGCAGAAAAAAAGTTAGATATCGACGTGACGGATACTGCTGGAAAAAAAGAAAAGATGGAAAGACCACTCGAGAGGATCATATGAAATTAAAAGTTCAAGGAACTGAAGTAAGCTCATTTTCTAATCTTTTTTTAATTTTTAATTGTAATTGTAATTTAATCTTATTTTAATATAAATTAAATTATTTTATGTTATTATAAGTCATATTACACTAAACTAAAAATAATAGTTAATCTGTAACTAATAAATCTACCAAATATTAGTAAATGTATATTTTTAAAGATTTTATGTTTTATTTTCATATTATCATGTATACGTATTTGTGTAAATGTTTAAAAATGTCGCAACGACAGAATATACCCAAATCACATTAGCCAGAAGTCGAATCTTTAAACCCTGTAACGTCATATAATAAACATGAAACTCAGAAAAATAGCCTTGCTAAATAAAAAAGATGTCTTCTAGCTATCTTATAAATTGTCTGAAGAATACACAATCGCAATTGGTGTTCTTTGTTAAGAGGCCATGTTAATCATAATTTATTAAATATATAATGCAAAAACTCTTGATAAAAACATAAACATTTGTATTTAAATTATAAAGTACTTTAAAAATGTGTTGATAACTTTAAAAATAACAATCTCCAACTTTTTACTATTTTAAAAGAAGGCGTAAATTTGTTTAAAATACATTTAAAACTAGTAAAAGTCAATAAACTAAGACAGTAAGTTTAAATTAGTACACAGTGATTAATTTATCATGAAATAATTAATTAATAAAAAAACAAAAATAATATTGAGAATTTTTTTTGTTTTCTTTTGGGTACATGTTTTTCTTAATTTATTAATCAAGTATTTTTATGTTCATTACTAATATTTTATAACGCTATCAATTTTATTTTTCAAAAGGTATCATACATAATTGACTAGCTCATATAACAGATAATAATATAATTAAGAAATTAACTGTTAACAGTTAAAACTTTTGGATCAGTATTTTGGAAGTTATTGGTATTTTTATACCTAGACGCGAGAAATAATACGGATAGGAAATGACTAGTGATAATAATAACAACACCCGCGTTTCATCCCAAGCCATCTCTATAAAATGTTTTATTTTTATTTTTCGATTAACTGAGTGGTTTTTGATTAATGAATCACCACGTATAATTTACAACATTTTTTTCGATATTTTAGTTCTATATACATGTATTTATCCTACAGTTTAAATAATAAAGTCCTTTAATTCTTTTATTCAAATTCTTTTATACACCACTTATATATTTATATATGTAATTAATTTTAAATATGCAGTAGTATCTATACGATCGAATAATATAATTGTGGTCTGTTGATAACATTTTGTTATTCGTAATATATAAATAATTCATTAAATAGCACGTAAAAAAATAAATCTCGTTTGCGCTACTGAATATTATAAATTTTATAAATTATAATTTTCTTCGGAAAATAGTGTTTATGCGGAGTAATGATACTTAATAAGTTAACGACCTTTAAGATGTTATAAATTATCACACATTAAAAATTACATAATAAAGTATAACTCGTACATAAAAATGTATTTTATAGCCTGTTTTACATTTTACTTAAAACTTTTAAACTTAAATATCGCATTGCATTTTAAGGAAAACTAAATTTAAATGTAAATAACTAAAGGTCAAAGGAGAATAAGAAGAAGACATGTAATTATAACAATATTTTGATTTAATATTCTGATTTTAATCAGCAAAAAATAATTTAAAAACTTGACTTATTCAAAAATAGATTTAATATGTACTATTTAAAATCTTTTTTTACAGTATATATATTTTTTATAAATTATTAGTTTAATAACAAGAGTTGAAAATTACTACTTTTAAAGTATTGCTTTATCACTACATGTAAAAAAAAAAAGTTCACTTAAGTTATCTCTACTTTTTGAAAAAAATGATGTAACGCTATTTTATTTTCAATGTATTCCAATATTTTGAATAATTATTTTTTAGAAATATTAGAAATATATTTTGTTATAAGTGATAAAACCTCCCTAATCACTTCTACAACTAAAACCTCGGTAACAACATATTACTAATTTATAAGTCTATTAATAAAAATTTGTTTTAGATGATGGTGTGTTAGGCCTAATTAAAAAGTTTAAGCTCACTATATTTATGTATGTTTTTATAAGTTTTCCCAATTTTGAAGCATTATAATTAACAGAGCTGCACGTACATAATGTGGTTTTTGTATCTAAAACTATGTGATATTCTTTTAATAGTTACACAATTTGTAGTTTAATTATGTTATTTAGGTAAGTGAACGGACTTTAATTAGTTTAATCTTTTTCAGTTAATATACTAATTACGTTTTTTTTTCGTTTGCAATATAAATTGGCTGTTAAAATGAGTTTCTCCCAATCCGAGAAATCAGTAAACTTTAAACTTAGTTCAACTTTTCTAGTATACAATAGTAGCTTAATAAGATTATTCTAATTTTACGTTAGATGATTCCAAATTGCTATCTTATTCAAAAATTGTTGAAGATGTTCTAAGCGCTTTTCTTTAAGTTAGTTAACTAATGAGTAAACACCCGAAACGTTTACCGTCTTAATTTCTTTAAAAAGTAATTAACAGTATAATATAACAAGTTTAGATGTTCTTTGTGTCATGTGTTAAAGTTGAATTACCTGTAAAAATGTTTTATGGTATATAGATATTCAAATAAACAAAACCTAGCACGATGGAGTCGTGGCACAGTGGAATCCAGTATAGATGATATTTGACCGTGACTAAAATCACTATCATAAAAAACGCTTCTATGCAAATCTATAGATAAACTTTAATTTTAAGAAATTGGTTGATTATTCTTAAAACAAATCAACTACTATTTCTACCATTATTTCAATTTATTGATTTATGAATAAATATCTATTAAAGCAATTCAACGTAGTATGAAATTGATATTTAATAATTTAGTATTGTAATTTTTTCGGATAATTTATAAAATATTGTAAAGTAGTTATTACTTTTATGGCAAACGTTTATAAAAATTAAAGAACTTGACACAGAACTTTTTAGATAATAATTTGTTGTTAATTATGAATAAATGGCCTGCAAAAAATATTTATTAAAGTCAAAAATATACTTTTATTATTCAATTTTTCGTGCTAATTTCAAATCAGTAATTATATTTTTGCTATCACCAATCATTTTTGATATTATTACTAATTAGTTAAAAATTATAGGACATAACTATAAGGAAAATAGTTTTGAATATTTCAATTGTATCTTTTCTTTAAACAGCAAGAGTTACATAGAAATTATTGATATTTCTTTTGAAATAATTTATTACAATAAAAAAATAATTAAAAACACAATAAATTGTATTTAAATTATTGCAGATTTTGATTTTTATATTTTTAAAATAATCACTGCAAAATATAATTTTAAATCTATTTTTTGGTATTTTAAGGTTGATTTTTTGCATATTTACAATAAAAAAAAGTTGAATTTGTTACCATAACTTTTAGGTCTACTTCAAGATTGAAATTTAAAATTGTATGAGAAAAAAATGGTATTCTTAAGATTAATATAAAGTCAAGAAATTGTATAATTACTATTTACTGTAAATTTATCAGAAAAGCTCAATATATTTTTGCATTTTTATTGTAATATGGTGTTTAAAAAGATTCTACAATTGAAATATTCAGAACTTATTTAATTTTAATGATTTACTTTAACTAAAAAAACCAATCAAAATGCTGTTAAAAAAATCTACTCAATTAAGTGTATTATAAAATTTGATTATAATTGTAAACATTTTTGTTAAAATCAGGTGAAACTAAAAATCATTTTTTTTTTTAGATGAGTGATTTTTATAGCAACATGTAATCAAAAAATTTAGAATATTATAGACTGTTAGAAACACACACAAATAAAGTTAAAAAATTAATATAATACAAAGTACAATTATTTAATTTTGTAGTTGAAATCTATTATCATATCTAGCCTAATTCGACAATAAATACTTTTAAAAATATTAAAAATTTATGATTTTAATTGTCTATATGGAGGATGTGGGTTAAGTAACTTTTTAATTGATAAAATAGAAATTATTTCAATTTTTAAGGGTAATATATTTAACTAGATAATAGTTGGTTAAGTGAAAGCTGAGAAAATAAATGAGAGCCATAAAAAAAAATCACATAGTAAAAAAACTTGAAGTGTAAGAAATTTCTTCAAACGAGGGGAGACTATAGTAGTCATCACTGTAGTCTCATCTACAGTGATAAGGTCGTTGATATTTATTAAAGTTATTGAATTTAAATGAGATAAAAATCAAATGATTTAAAAATTTTTTTCTAACTCAAAAACTTTTGCAAGGTATTTTAAAATATAATAAAATACAAAATCGAAAATCTTAACACAATAATAGCATACAGTAGTCATTTTTATATCATGAAGACAAAAAAAGTCTGACTTTTTTTTTCGTAATAAAATATATTGCATTAGATTTAATTTAAGATATATATAAAAGTTTTAGTATTTTCGGAACACTTTTAAAATATAAGTTAAAAAGTAAATTTTATTGTGAAAAAGATGTCTCTTTGAATCCTCCCTGTAACCAAGTAAAGGGTCAAATTTAAAAAAAAAATATACCAAATGATAAATAAATATCTAACATATCTATTTAAAAAAAGAATAATTTATATTCATCTATTTTGAAAAAGTTATGGTAGTTTTAGGAATAAAAAGTGAAAAAAATTTACCGATTTAAAAATTCTAATTTTTTTGAGATTCCCCTATTTACGTAGAACGACGAAACTTTTTCAATTTTTAGGGGTAATGTCTTTGACTAGATACGATTTGTGATCTTTTGACGTACGTTGAAAAAAATCTGTTTGGTGTACGTTGAGAAAAAATGGTAACAGACATAAAAAAAAAAACACATCATAGTAAATTTAATACCTTCTTAGCTACGAATTTAAGCTAAAAGTGATTGGTAATAAATACTAAATATAGATTTTTTCAAATTAATTTAAGCTTAAAAATGTTTTAAAACTAATTCTTTAACAGAGTGACTATTTTCTCTTGGTTCCCCTAGTTATGAAATTACCCACACTATACCTAATTAGATTTTATCATTTACATGGTCGGTTTTTTTGTCTGGCTCGTAAAAATCTCAAAAACTTTGTTCTAAGTTTTTTAAAATTTAATCTGACTTTTTGTTTAGCAGTTATAAATTAAATTTTTGAACAATTTTTTAAAGTATAAATTACATAAAAATTTTTGAAGCCAAGAAAAATTTTTTTAAATGTTATTAGTTATTTTTAGGTCAATTTGAGTGAAATTGTCCATTAATAAATCAAATCATAAATATGTCTTGATTTTTTAATTTCTAGATAAAATAAACGAAACACAAATAATAAGATGCAAATAGATAAATATTTTTTAAAATAATTTAATATATTATTTGAAAACACTTTTTTTTTCAAATACTTTGTACTCTCTTTTCCAATTGCTGTATTCAATGAGTTAGTAATGCAATTAAATAAGCCATGGTTTTGTTTTACACAAATTTTTTGATTGAAATACTGAAAATAAAAAATAAAAATAATTATTTTATATAATTTTATTTGTATTTAGTGTATTTACGGGTGCTATGTTCATTCAGCCATTTTACCAACATTTCATAGACGATGTTATTGGTTATTGCAGGTAAGTTTTTTTAAATCTAAGTAACTTAGTACTGTCATTCATTATCTCCTTAGTTTCTATCCTAACTATTTGGGGTCGGCTCTACATTGCGATTTGACAGGTTTTTACATCAGTTGTCAACTTGATGCAACCTCATTACGGCTGAGAGAGCCAGTATAAGGACAAGGTGTGCGCCATAGTTAGAGTTCCCATATGGTCACCTATCCGAGAACCATCAGCAAATAGCGGAGCTGAACAGTAGTGCTATGGCGGTGGCTAATTGATCTACTTCGTTACAACACATCCCTAACATATTTACGAGTACTAAGTACTAACATTGAATTGTAAAATGTAATGAATCTTAATTAAGTTAAGATTCTATACAATATATAATTTAAACTTATTATGTTATACTCGAGCCTCTTAACTATAAAAATATAGTAAATCTATTAAAGCCCAATAAGGTTGTTGAATATTTTTTTAAGAGAAATAGTTTTTTTCCTTCAAAATACATTCAAAGTATAAGTAATAAATATTTTATTTTTTATAATTTCTAGATAATTCTTAAATATATATTTTTTTATCAAAATATATGGGATAGATAATTTAATTAATAAATAGTCTTAATAATAATACTATACTTAATTAATTGATTCTTTTAGTTTTTATAATTATAATATGATATAGTCAATTAGACCTAAGTTGACCATTAATTTTTTCATTCCAAATTTAGCTTTAACGCATCAAAAATTTTTTAAATAATTAATTTAAAGGACTAGTTAGCTTTAATTCAATTTTACTATTTGAGATAACAAACACTTAAAAGTAAATTTGGGAGTCAACTACTTTACAGTACATAAATTATCTTACAAAGAAACTTAAATCAATACTACCTTATATTTTATCTTAGTTAATCCAACTATACTGAAAAACTATAGAATTACCTTTTTTAACTTAAGTTATACCACATACGTTTGCATATTATTTAGTGCTACTTATTTATTTTTTTTTGTTTTAGAATCCAGACATGGTGTTAGTGCACTATTTGAACGTTCCGTATCCAGACGATAATAAATTATCTGTAATCTCCCCTAACTCGGCACTTTGGGCCGATCGAAAAGAGTGGACTAAAGATGAACTTCTTTCTCAATTAAAACCCATGTGTAAGAATCATAAAATTTACTTTCTTAATAAAAATCTTTATTTTGATGCATATTTTTAGTTTACGAAGAAAATTCTAATTTCAACAGTGATATTGAAGTTAAGGTATGTTAATTGTGATTTTTAAGATATTTAAATAGAAATTATAGAATCTGTGAAAAATTGTTTTAATAAGGCGTAACTATGTTTTTACGTTACAAAAAAATACGAAATGAAACCATATAAAATATTATAACTTGATTCTAATAAATATTAAGTGAAGCCGTAAAGGTCGACAGTAATTAGGCATTAACAGACGTCGGAGTTAATACATTTAGTAAAACAATTAAATCAATCGTTAGACACACGATAATCTCTAATTTTTTAATTTTCAAATAAATTGAACATAAAAATAAAAATTTTGTTTCAAATAATGCTTTTTTTTCCTATGGTAAAAAGTGTACATTTTTCATTTCTTTTAAAATAATTTAACAAATTAGTAATAGTAAAGAATTTAAAAAGTTTAAAAGTGTAAAATACATACTATATATTAAAACCATAAAAACATTTGTATGATTTATTAAAAAAAAGATCATTTAGTAACAAGGAAAAAATAAAATGTGTTCATTTAACTTTTAGACTGTTTCAAAATCTTAAAACTTCTCAATTAAAAAAGAACTGAACTAAAGTTTCTGAAGTTTTTCTCTGACGCTTAGCAACTAGTCGCACATTTTAATTTTAATTAGCTCAAAAGAAACGTGCTCGGCTTACATATACATACATTAATATATTTTTTTTTATTTGAGAGAGGATTTCAAAGTTTCTAGAAACTTAGTTTATTGTTCTTGTTGTGATAGAACCTTTACCTTTGCTTTCCCAAGAGTGCAGATTGTTAAAAAAAAAGTTGCTTTGCATAGATATAAGACGAATCCAGTATTACACTTTATCAGTCATTTTACAATTACAACAATTTTACAACTATTTTTGTCTAATATAAATATTAAAAAACGACTAGTCTTTAAATTCTTAGCATTATATGGGCTAAAAATATGTTTGGGATTATAAAAGAACTTACAAAATCTTATATAAAAATTACTTTAGCGTTAATCGAATTATAGATTTACATTTTAATAATGTCATTATAACATTAAAAGCAAGAAGAGATATTAAATAGAGATATTTTTTGGTTGATTCAAAACATTGTATTTTATGTATTTATACGTAAAAAAATCGTATATTATAATTTTTGTATTTTTAAAGAGAAGTGTTAAATACTCAATTTATCATGAGTTCAGCATTCATTAAGTATGGACAATAATTTTTAAATAGAAATAACTTTTTTCCAATACATTTATATATGTATATAATTAGACTGGAGATTGTGTGTCCACTATGGTTACTCAACTTATGGAATGGCAAAAAAATGCTCGAGCATCACTTCTCAGTAGAACTTTAGAATGTGGATGCCCTGATTCTACGTGTGCAGATGGTCAATCGTGTTCTCGACCTATCAGACGTATACTATCTTCGGATAGTAATCAAGTAATACAATTATGATTTAAAAAAAATAATAGATAATATAAAAAGAACATTTTGGCAATTTTTGAATATTAGGTTTCTTCTACTACGGGAAATCGTACCCGACCATCTACTATAGTTTTTACTAATTCACCTTCACATCAATCAAGAGTCAACTTAACAACGGTAACACTTAATTCAAATTTGAATTTTTCAAATAAAAAATTGATTAAGATTAAATCAATTTTATATGGTCTAAATTTATGGCTTATAAGCTTTTATTCGTATACGAACGAATAAATAACACAGAACAAATGAAGTGCAGTTTATAATATTAAGATAAATTGTATATGGGAATTTTCTACTGACACTAAATTTGGGTTCAGATTAGTTGAATCATATGGTTTGAATATATGGTTTCTAAAATAATTTCAATTTAGTTATTAAGCTCTTGAAAATTTAAAAAAAATATAACATTTTTTTTAAATTGTGCATTAAGAAAAAAACATTTTAAAAATTTTTATAAAACCATCTATTTAATGGCTAAAAATCCATAACCGGAAGTTAAACTAAAAAAAAAGTTATTGGGAAAGATTAGACTGATTTTTTGACAAATAAGCTTACTATTGAAAAATTAATCTATCACTTAGAATTGCTATAAACAAATTTAAAATCCTATAAAAACAAGTTAAACTTGACGCAGCAGTCTCAGGAGGAGTTCAGTGACAATAGGCAAGGACGTGATAGGAAAGGTGGAAAGTTCTAAATATTTAGGATCAATAGTGCAAAAGAGCGGTGGTATTGACGAGGATGTAAGACACAGGATTAAGTGCGGGTGGTTAAAGTGGAGAGAAGCGTCTGGTGTGTTTTGCGATAAAAGAACTCCAATGAGGCTGAAAGGTAAATTCTATAACACTGCAGTGAGACCAGATATGATGTATGGTTCAAAGTGTTGGGCGGTTGACAAGAAAGTAAAGCAGAAAATGAGTGTAGCAGAGATGAGAATGCTTAGATGGACGAGTAGAGTGTCTACAAAAGTTAAGATAAGGAATGAACATATAAGAGGGAGTATAGGTGTAGCATCAATCGTGGATAAGATGAGAGAAAATATACTTAAATGGTTTGGTCGTGTTATGAGAAGAGAAGAATCGGAAGCTATAAGAACAGTTATAGAAATGAATGTTGAAGGAAGAAGAGGAAGAAGAAGACCGAAAAAGAAATGAAAGGGTGTAATTGAATGTAATATGAGGACAGCTGATGTTAGCTTTGATGATGTGGTAGATCGTGTCAAGTGGAAGTTAAGGATAAGGTTGGCCGACCCCAAGTAGTTGGGATTAAGGCGAGAAAAAATAAGAAGAAGAAAACTTTTTTTTATAAATATTTTATACATATCCCTTTCATATGACATGCTTATTTAAAAAATTTAAATATTCCTTCTTATACATGGGAGGTAAAAACTTAAAATATACGTATTATAAAAGTAGAACTTTTTTAACTTAACTTTTGATAATGTTCCGACTTTAAAAATATGTTAAAAAAAGCCTATTAAATACTTATCTTAAAAAAAAATTGTCCAAAGACTTGTCTTTTGTATGTATATCGATCCCAAATTTAAACTAAAAATATTATTATTTTATAAATATTCATAGGCTTTCCTGTTTTATAAGTCCATACTTACATTTTTGATACACGTTTTATATAAAATAAAAATATATATTTAAATTTATTTATATGTGAATTGTACATCATAAACGTGCAATCAAGAAAAAATAAGGAAAAAAGAGTTTATTTTGCTTATGAAATAATCCAAAATTTCTTCTAAAAATTAAACAGTATCTCCAGAAGTAAAAAATGTAAACTTTAATTTTCCTTAATGAAAATCCCTATATTTAGGTTATTTATATCATAATTTTTTTCTAACTTGTTCTTCATTTTCAATTTTTTTCATCTGATCAATCATTTTTGTTTTAAAATTTTTTAAAGATTTAGGTTTAAGTAAAAATATTTTTTTATTCGGATTTAATAATATTGGAGGTAATATAATAATTTGTTCAATTGGCCATAAATTATTTGTAATATAGTTGTCGTCAACATTTTTCCATTCAGGTCCGTTCAATCGTTTACTAAATTCATTGTTTATTGATTAATGTGTACAATACATATTCATATTTTAACTATAAAATAGATTGTTATTTCAAAAAAATTTATATTACTTAATTTATAATAATTTACATAGACTCAATGCGGACTTTCTTCTTCAAATATATTAAATGATAATTTGATACCAAATTCAACACAAGAATTTCATAACCAAGTACAACAACAAATTATTATGAAGTACGATTGTGTAAGTATTGTATTTATTAATCAATTATATGATATTTAGAGGCAGGTTGACGATACTTTTAATGAACTGGGCTTTTTATAACGAATAATTTTTTTTTAATATAATAATTTTATTAAAAAAATATTATAATTAGTATTAGTTATAATAATGATATAAAATATATATATATATATATCAATATAATTTAACCATAGAGGGAAAGTGGATCATTTATGAATAATAGACATTTATCACAAAATAACACACCTGAAAATAGTCGAACAAACGATGATATTTTGCATGGATATAACAATAAAGAAATTTATCAGGGACCAGAAAATCAAAATGATCACATCATAAATATTTATCAGAATCACAATAATTTGAAACAACAAATTGAAGATCATGTCAAGTCTGAATTTTATGATGTTACTTTAGACTTGTCACACGATGACATCCAAAAGACTCTTTCAGTTAACATGCCCGCTGTAACTTGTGCTAATTCTGACCAACTTTTAAGGTAAAAATAAAATGTGTGTAGTATAATTACTATAACAACATAGGAAAATGTATTTTTACGTAACTAAATTAAAGAAATTTAGTCGTATTAACTGATTTACAGGGTATTGATTTTAGGCGAGACACTTATTTTCTCAAAAACTATAAAAAGTTTTTAATTTTTCTTATGAAATAATTATTTGGTTAAAAACTCAACAATATTATATAGTTGACTAATTTTTTTTCATTTGTTTACGAATAAAAAAATCTTTAATTTTTTTAAAGGGAAATCCTACTTTTAACTTGATAATATGATAGAGGAAAAAATGATAAACAATTATGTTCATATAATTTTTTAATTGGTCTATTGTTCATCTGTTGGTGAACAGAATGTTCAAGTTTAGTTATAAGAGATCAATTGAATCATATTTCATTATTAAAAATAACAGAAGTGTTCATTTTTCCATTTTATAAATTAGATCTAATTATTATCTAATTAATAAATTAGATTTTGACTAAGATATAATCATAAATACAGAAATCCTATCTTTAATATTTAATACGGCCGCTAGAGATTGACGTAAAAATGTAGAAAATGTACCGGAAGTCATGTCATAAAAAGAGACTCGGTACAGGATCAGAACCTGCGATCAAAGGCGTTGTAGAAACAATCTTACTACTAAACCACCGCGTACTTTTGATTAAGATTTCGAAACACTTTCATTTAGATTGATAACGTGATGTGCGGCTAAGTCAAACAAGGTATCGTGTCATATTTTATGTCTATTAATAATCGCATAGTCTTATATTAACACAAGTTTATTGTTGTAAATTGTCATCAACTAACATAAAAAATGACTTATAATCTAATGAAACAGATTATTGCTGTATTAAAAAAACTAAATTAATAAAAAAAATTTTATTTAATTTTTTTAAAAATTTTATTGTGTAATATTATCAAAATAAAAATAGTATTTTCCATTTACAAAAATTAATGTTAAAGGTTTTTTTTTTAGATGGAAAAAAAATAATTTTATTTCATAAAATTGTTTAACTGAGAAAAAATGTGTCATAACCTTAATCAATTTCCAGTTTTTTTTACATCAATTATATAAGTTTAAAGTACTAATCTAGTACATTAGTAGTAAAGGTCTTTCAGAAAAATATATTTGTAATAAATATTTCTTATTATATATACGAAGTTATTAACAATTTTATACTTATAAAGGAACTTATTAAGTCGTTTGACTTAATCTGGATATATATTCAGATTAACAAAATTACTCAACTTTTGTACTTTGGAGTTAATATTTCAAGAAATACTCATGATGTTTACTACTTGGGGTTTTCAGTAACTAGAACAGTTACCCTAACTGCTATTAAAAGAAACAAAAATCAATATTATTTTATTTTTCAATTAACTAGATCAGTAATAAATTAATCACTCAGTATATATTTAAAAAATTACACATACATAATTATCAAGTTAAATTATTTTATATGTTTATGTAATCTAATTTAAACTTAATCCTAGTTATAATAATAATAATAGTAATAATTAATAACTAACTTAAATATAATACTCGACATTAAGTTTTTTCTTTACCACTTAAATTGAATTCTCTTGTACTACTTAACTGTTTAATTTAATGTTACATTAAATAGTATAGGTGCAATTTAAGAAGACTTGAGCTGCCTACTATTTATTTTACTTTTATAACAAAGTGTATTTTTTCTCTTTTAGCTAATTTGACAATTACAGTCAATTACAAATAATTTATAGTAATTTGAAAGTTTCCGTGTATATTTGAGGATTATATTAAATTATATATTTTTTAGTTTCAATGCGAATCTGAAGAGATATTGGTTTTGTAATGATGTGTGCATTTTTTATGTTTGTCCATGAAAGTTCTCAGCTCTCACTGGTTCGATTTCAATGCCATTATGTCAAAAGAATCCGATTTTAATATTAATGAGCTTATCAGAGACTAAAATTAAAAAAACCCCTTCATTTTTAAAAATTAAAAAAAAATATTACAAAATAATGCTACCTTAAATATAAGCATTTTCAAAAAAAATTGTCTATATTTTAAAGCTGATGCAACTTTTTTTTTTTAAACACTAATAAAATGAGATTTAACAGAGTATACTAGAGACAATAATCTTACTTTTGGTATGCATCTATAATGTGATGAAAAATCTAAGTACAAAAAGTTTTAAAAGGTCATCCACATATGTTATTTTTGTTCTTTAACTCGACTTTTGAAAATATTGCGAAAAGTCTGACAAATTCTATTTTATATCAAGTTCAAGCTTTGAAATATAATACAATATTATAAAAAAAATGTTTAGATGATTGTTCTATTATCTAATGAATAATGTCTTAATGATATTTTTTTCCAATTTATGTGATATTAAAGTCAAAAATGACGAAATTTCTGTAAAAATGTTGAAAATATATTATAAAATATCATATTTTCTCCACTGGTCTTAAAAGGGTATTATTTACTCGTATTATTGGAAAATTCTAAAATTATATTTTAAACATTTGAACAGACTGGATGATAATAGAAACAACAAAAATGTAACTGGTGATGACGTTTTTGTAAATTTGGACGCTTTTGATATGCTAACTGACTTCCAAGAGTTGGATATTTTAGAAAATACAGACCATCAAACATCAAGTAATAAAAAATAGTTTTACTAAATTAATTAAAAAAAAATTGTTGAGTTTTCTCCTCTTACAGCAAGCTTGGTGACAGGAATGAGTACAAATGCAGAGTGCTCACAAAATTCTATTGGACATATTCAAATGGATATCGATGTATTGCAAATTACAGATTATTCCCCTGGGTGGGCATTTCCTGAGGTCAGTTAAAAATGAAATATTTTATATTTTCGATAAAAATGAAACATTTTAAAGTTTTAATAAGGAAAAATATGATAATAAGTTGAAAAACATTCATAGAACTTATAAAATTAGATTTATTAAAAAACTAATAAAAGGTCAAAAAATATTCTGTGATTCCATATTTTAGTATAGCTTCTAACTATAAATTTACTATCAAAATAAAATTCTCGTTATAAATTTATTGCTTGTTATAAAAAATTTTAAATTTATTTCAGAATCAAAATTTTAAGTTTATATTACTGTTATATAAATGAGTTATGTAAAGCGTTTGCAAAATAATTTTATCCGAAGAAATTACTTTACAAATTTATCTATTTACAAAAAAACTTCATACGTGCTTTATTGTCGATAAAATTAGGTATGTTAATACGATACAAAATCAGGCGAGAGATGTGTAACATGATTGTTATTTCATTATTAATGTATTATTTGTACATCATTTTTCAATTTATCGTGTAGGAGACGTGTAGTGTTTTTTTAATATTATTATAAAGTTTTCAAAGAACATTTACTTTGCTGACGGCATATTTTTTTTGGAAATCCAAACATTCTTGATAATCTTTCAAAAAATTTGACTTTGTTAAATATACTCCATGTTAATGCCAAAAGAATGTAATTTAAAATGAAATAAAAATGTATAGAAACAAAACATCTAAATCATACAATACTATTAAAAAAATTAAAGATTTTTAAATTTACTATATCAAAAATATTCCAACCATTATTTCTCTACGTGTAATTGGTTGTTATAACAAAATATAAATATTTTGTAAAAATATGCGACATTTTGCTATTGATTAAATGCAAAATCATACATAAAAAATTAAATTATTTTATTTAAATTTTGATAATATTCTAAAATATTAGTTTTTTTTTTAAACTTGAACCAAATTAAAGCTTTTTATATGTACTTTATAATTAAACATATAAAAAACGTCTGTATAAATACACATACTGTTTAAGTAATTAAATAAAAATCGAAATTTGTGAAATTTCAGTTAAAATTTTTCAATATTTCTTTAGTCTTTCTTCAAAATTTGAAAATTCGTAAAATGTTTTTTGAGGAAGGAATTATAAATCCTTACTGCTATAAAAATTACAAGAGAATGGGATCTATGATATTTTTCTGCGCGCTATTATTATGATACCAAAGGGACATTTTAATATATTACTAAAAATACACTAATACAACAAAACTCTGTTGCTACTGTAGAATTATACTCCAATAAGTCTATAGGGTTCGATTCATATATTTTTTAATCAATTTCTTTGGAAAAATATATTTTATTGTAGTATGATACAAAAAATAATCTATAAACAACATTTATTGAATTTGCTAGTATTTTCTTAGGGTGGTGTTAAAATACTAGTTACGGGACCGTGGTATTCATCTTCTTCGTACACTGTGATGTTTGATTCAGTTGAAGTTTCTACTACTCTCATTCAAGAAGGTGTCCTGCGTTGCTATTGTCCTGGTAATTATAATATTGTTCATTATATTTTAAAATTAGAGTAATTTGATTTTTAATATTTAACTTTTATTACATAGGTGTAGATTGAAAAATTTGTGAAGGCTGTAGTTTCATAATCTTTTTTATAAGTCTAGATAAAAGACCAAATGGAAAGCTCAATAACATTTTTTTAACTCCTCCACCAAAAACCATGTCACTATTATCATTCATATAAAGATTTTAAAATTACATTATACTCAAAATCTGAATAGATTAAATATACGTAGGTTTAACTTGCAATGTAATCCGAATATTTTTTATGAAAAAAAATAAAACGTTTAATAACTGAGGAATTAACAAAAATATTTCCAAATGATTTTTAAGTTAATACACAACGTAAAAATAAATGGATAATAATTTTACTAATTTTTTTTGTTTTATACTTAGCACATGATATTGGGACAGTTACTTTACAAGTTATCGTTGACGGAAGACCTATATCGTCCACAGCTATTTTTGAATACCGCCAACGCGAGTTTCCCCTCACGATATCATCATTAACTGTCACAGACACTTCATCACTACTTAAATTCTATTTACTTCAAAAATTAGATTTACTCGAAGAATATTTACAACCTATAAGTCAACAATCACATCTTCTACTCGTAAGTTTTAAATTAAATTTTACGTTTATTATTTTTGTTTTATTCATAGACTTTATATTAGAAAGTTACTTTTTAGAAAGAAAATTTGGATTTGTTTAACAAATCAAACTTTGAAGAACGGCTTGTTGATTATTGCGAACACATAAAACAATTTTCGTGGAAACCAGAATCCGAGTGTAATATTAAGCAATTGGATACTGAAACGACTATTTTACACATGGCTGCTTTTTTAGGCTATTCTAAGTAAATTTATTGAATTTAAATCATCTCTATTTAATTTTATAATATGAATGATTTAGACATTCCTAGGTGTAATGCGTATTATTTAGTTAAAAAATTATAATTCGTCGTTTGTACTACAATGATACATATATTAGGATCATAAACAAACAAATTCGAATTATATATGTTTTATACAAGACATGTTTTTATTTTCATAACTGTTTATAGAACTATGCATTTCACAAAAAAAAAAAAAAAAATTGTAGAAAAAAATGAAAAAAAAAACTTTTTTAATAATTATTGATAAAATGTTATAAATGCATATGTGTGTATGTGTGAGTTTATTTATTTATAGTATCATTAAAGTGTAGTGTATATTAAGATACAACCGATAGAGTAAGTAATTGATTTGACGCTAAATTGTACATTTCCAAACAACAATTATATTATGTTAATTGCCACCGGAATTTCTGCAAATAATAAAGATAATTGCCATAAAACGGCCTTTAGTCTGGTGCTGGAGGTGGTAAAAATTGTGGCTGCCGAAAAACAGGGCTTAAATGTTCTATTATATGTGAACATTGTAAAGGTCAATGGTGTACAAATTCAATGGAAATAAAGATTGAAGATTAAGAAAATTTTACTATTGTTGAAGATATATTCTATAAAAATTTAGAATGGGAAAATGAATAAGAAAATGGAAAAAAATTTTGTTTGATACATTTGTCAAATAACTTTATAGTGGAGAAATCCTCCATCGATTACATACTTTGCACTAGTAATGCATATAACTTGTATTTAGGATATAAATAAGGAAATAGGAGATCATGTAGCTTTTGTAATAATCCATTAAAATTTAAAAATTAAACACTATCTACAGATTTGCACCAAGGCGTTGTTTTTTGATAATGATTTTAATCATCTATACTGCACCCAATTATACACACTGTGCCGGGACACTGCTGGTTTTTTTTTTAAATAGCGATTAGTTGAAATAGTAGCAGTGGGTTTACTTTAATTATTTCATTATTAATTTTAACAATAGAAGTTATTGAAGATACAGTTATAACTTTATTTGACCTTTTAAGATTTATATCATGAAAGTTATTATCCACCATTGAGTTTACTAGAACAAAACCAATTTTAGACACTTTATGACAATTAATTTTATCATTACTAGAAATTCTGGCTGAGTTGACAAAAGAGAACATGAGGTAGGTGAAATGAGGAGATCAGTGACAATAGGCAAGGACGTGATTGGAGAGGTGGAAAGTTTTAAGTATTTAGGATCAATAGTGCAAAAGAGCGATGGTATTGACGAGAATGTAAGACACAAGATTAAGTGCGGGTAGTTGAAGTAGAGAGAAGCGTCTGGGGTCTTAATGCGATAAAAGATTTCCAATGAGACTAAAAGGTAAATTCTACAACAATGTAGTGAGACTAGCAATGATGTATGGTTCAGAGTGTTAGGCGGTTGATAAGAAAGTAAAGCAGAGAATGAGTGTAGCAGAGATGAAAATGCTTAGTTGGATGAGTGGAGTGACTAGAAAAAATAGAATAAGGAACGAGCATATAAGAGGGAGTATAGGTGTAGCGTCAATCGTGGATAAGATGACAGAAAATAAACTTAGATGGTTTGGTCTGTTATGAGGATAGAAGAATCGGAAGCTGTAAGAACAGTTATAAAAATGAATGTTGAAGGAATAAGAGGTAGAGGAAGACCAAAAAAGAGATGGAGGGATGTTATTGAATGCGATATGAGGACAGCTGATGTGAGCGTAGAAGATGTGGGAGACCGTGTCAAGTGGAAGTTTGGATGAGGGTGGCCGACCCCAAGTAGTTGAGATTATGGCAAAGAAAAAGAAAAAGATTAGCAGCAATTAACATAGTATAATTGTTGTTTGGGAATGTACAATTTAGCGTTTAGTTGGGTTTAAACAATATAGCGTCAAATCAATTACTTACTCTATCGGTTGTATCTTATTATACACTACACTTTAAAGATACTATAAATAAATAAACACACACATACACACATATGCATTTATAACATTGTATCTAATGTAAGTATAACATGATAAAAAGTAACCGTAAAATGAAAAAAATTGGAAAATAAATTTTAGTACTCATATTAAATGTAATGTAACTCGAAAAATATTTGTTTAAATGAAAAAATATAAGTTACCTTTTTTGTTTAAAATTGTCTTTTAAACAACTTCTGTACGAAATTTTTTTTTGTTAGTTAAATATTTTTTGAAAAAATTAAAAAAGCTCATATTTTTTAATTTTTGCGAGGCTGTAAAAAAAAACTCAAGTCCAATCGATGAGGACTTTTAGTATGTCATTATACATATCAACTTTTAAAAAAAAAAAATTTGGTTGGTAATTTTTTCCGCCATTTTTTCTTTGTTGACTGGCCTATTAGGTTTATTTGTTCAGCAACTGATATTGTTCAACTAATTACAAGCAAATTATTTTAAATACAAGTAATGAAAATACAACTTTCCCTATTTAATTTTTATTCAAAAATCCCATTTAGTACTCCACTAATATGAATAAAACTTTAATTACAAGTAGTCTTTATTTGTGTTGTATTCTTTTAGCTACCGTTAAAAAATGTATTTATTTATTAAGTTGAAATTTAAATCTTACGCCGTAAATAACAATATTGTATCATTTTTGCAAAAAAGGTATGTATGGTTTAAAAAATGTATATGTTGATTTTAATTTAATAACCTTAAATCTTTATTCATACATTACATCTATAATAACTTGACTTGATTTTAAAGCAATTCGAGAAGAAAGTACGAACTAATTTTAATTTAAATATAAACCCTAATGAATTAGTACAAAATTAATACATAAAAAATATCCAGAGCTACATAATGACTATTTAAAGAATTTATTTATCAGCTCTTTTCGCCAAAATTACTCCTTCATTGACTGGCCTATAATAATTATAGAGGAATATACCATCAGGACGATTTCCCTTTTAAAATTTGCACACTACATTTTTTTTTTCAATAACTCGGTAATAATTATGTATCAAATCTAAAATTTCTTTAAAGGGTAGGCAATAACTCCCTTTTAAATGAGAAATACATACATAATAAATTTTTACGCATAACATAAATTTAGTTAAGGTATGTTAACTTATCAACTTATGTCAACCTACTCCAGACGCGGAGCAAAATCTTTATTAAAATTCGTAAAAGATTTGACAATTTTTATAGTTGAATAATACCAAATTTCATTTTTTATGGTGAGTACATTTTTTCAGAGATTCAATTAAAGTTTAAAGGTGTTAACTTGTTTCATCGTACCTATAAATTCAAACACACATACATATATATATTTATTAATTTAAACATTTTCATATATATTATTTTGTAATAATAATAATAATTTTATTTTTCATAGAAAAAAATTGTAATCTGGGGAATTTGAATTTTTATACAATAATTATATACATTTTAAAAATTGATAAATATTCTGTCAACACCAAAAAATCTCAAAAAAAAAATTTTTGTTGTAAACACCAAAAAAATGGCGAATTTTTTTCTTCTTTTGAACTGCATTATATTAGTAAAAATATGTAAAACATAAAAATATGCTCTCTTGTCATATGTATAATGTTATACCTATGGCTATTATAATAAAATAGTTCAATTCTTATTGTATTGTTTTTTTTCATAAAAATCAACTGGTTTTTATGATCAAGGTATAATCAAATTATAATCATAATAAATCTAAAGTGTTTTTTAAATGGTATGTAAGTGGTATTATTTTATGTTTTTATTTTTAATTTTCAATAATAAAAATATTTGTTAAGTAGCGGCAAGCTATAGTTCATGAAAATCAAGTGGTTTAGTTTTCTATTACCTTCATATATTTTTAGAAAACCTTTATGTATTATAAAATAGAACAGAAAAATTAAAAAAAAATCGTTACATTTTTTCATTTTGTTGTGAAATTATACTTTTCTAGACTAGTATGTAAATTGCTACAATGGAAATTGGAAAAGGTTTCACAATTTCTAGAAATGGAAATAAATGTTTCTAAACAAGATTGTGAAGGATACACTCCATTGGTATGATTTATAAAAAAATTTAGTAGATCATAGACTCCCCATTATTTACAAATTTTGTACAATATATTTTATACTTATATTTATACTTAAGATGTGGGCATGTAAGAAAGGACATAAAGATACTGCAGTTTTACTTTGTCAATGGAATCAGACAGTTCAAAATTCTAACAGTATCATGAACTCCGATTATTTTCAGACTGAGATATTAGAATCCGTCCATCAATGTAAGACTAATAATTTTATTACTTTTACATCTAGCTAAAATTTAATATTGACTTTTTTAGATTTCAATGATTTTAATCATAATCAATACTATACATGTGATAAATTAACTGATGATATTTTTACAAAACCTAATGAGTTTATTAGGTAAAAATTATATTTATATCAGAATTTTTTTAAATATAAAATTTTTTTTATTCTTAATTTGTTTAGTGAGATTAAAAAAGAAAATTCATTTCACAAATTTGACGTTCCTAGTTCACAAACTGCCCAGTTAAACCATTATGATTTGTGTGAGTTTATTATTACTTTTCGAATACTTATTTAATTCTTGATGAACACAGTTTTATTTATTTTTTTTAATGTTTAGCTTTAAAAGAGAATACTGATAATCAATGTGATCAAAATAACAAAAAACATTATTTAAATTTTTCACAAACAAATGACCACTACAAACGGGTTTTAAAATCGCTACAACATTGTCCTTCTATACAAAAGTAAATAATTTTTTAATGAAATTAAATTTTAGCAAGATACATAATTTTATCAAAACTAATATGTTTTTATAGGTTCCAAAAAAGTGATACGCTACCTCTGCAGTCACCGAGTTCCGATAGTGGTATTTCAATAGAACGATCACCTATTCTTAAAAAGTCTAATTTCATAATTTGTAAGTTAATTTTTAAAGTATTAGTAATAAATAATTTATAAATAAATATATGAAAGGTGCAGAGGAAAAATTGAAGTATCTTTTTAAAATAATTTTAAAGAAAAGGCTAAAAATAAAATAATTTTTTTTTAACTGCATACCAAACATTTTCCTTACCTTATTTTAAATTTGTTTATTGTAAATTTAAACTAACTATACAACTTCCTCAGAATACAACAAATATTATTATTTTGGTTTTTCCCTGTACGCTTCATATTTAAACATTTCTGTTATTTCCATTTTTATCGTATTTTGGAAATTATAATATTTCGATAATTATATTTTATTTTACATCAGTACGTAATATAATATAGTTTTTATTCGGGTAACATAATTTATATATATATGATTGTTAGTAGTTTAGAGCAAAAAATACAATGCTGTGTAAGTTCAAATCGTTGAGTAATTTGAGTTACTTCTAATGTTAATTAAAATTGAAAATACAAGTATTTATAATTTTTGAAGTAGAAAAGAGATTCTTTAAATATAACACCAAATATTTAATTTTTTTTTTATTGATTATAATTTTAACGAATATACTATGCAAATAAGTATAGTTGATATTTGTTAAGTTTAATTCAAAATTTAACAATAATTCATCCTCTTTGTTTAGATATGCTACTTGTAGAATAATGCTATATATTTTTACCATATATATATATTTAAGTAAACATAATTATTGACTATTGTAGAATTATATAAATTATTGAATGGGTATTATTCATAATACCAGGGCCGTATTCATAATTTTGGCACCCTCGAACACAAAATTTATGTCACTACTCACTTGTAATATTAATATTAAAATTTTATTTGTGTCTGTGTGTATACAATAAATAAATTAATAAATGTATACGGTTTAATAATTGAAACTGTAATTAAATAATTAATTAAACTAATGACTAAAAATTCTTTTTAGCTTCGATGCGATGATGAGAAGGTTTTAATTTTAATGTGAAATACTAATATTCAGCTCTTACATGACCAATATTGTCAATAAATACACCAAAAGAAACCGCGTAATAAATATCTAGTTAAAGGAATTACATTTCAATAATAGAAAATTTTTTTTTAATTTTTTTACATAAAAAAAAATTATAATCGTTGAATATTATTTTTCGATTTAGATTTTTTTCACGTAATATAACATGACTAATACTTTATTTTGAAAAATTGTATAAATATGATTTATTTATTATTTATTAAATATTACTAATAGTTTAGATAATAAACTTTTTATTCAATTCCTATTTAGAAAATTTAATTAAAAACTTAAGAAAAAAATAATTTAAAAAATAAAAAAGTTAATACAATTTTTTTTATTTTTTAACTTTTGACAATGTTCTAAAATTCCCGTGTCTATTGAAGTTATCATAAAATTTAAGTTCAATAACATTCTTTAATAAAAAAATCTGTCCAATGACTTCACTTCTATAGGAAGTGTCCACTAAAGTCAAAAAAAGTAAAATTTCGTAGTAATTTTTTTAATAATTGTTAACGAAATTTTGCTTCAAATGTTTGGTAAAAATGTGCCATCTCCAAGGACATTCTAGTCTATAACCCTCTAGTTATTATCGAGGTGGACATAATGGCCATGCACTCAGACCCGTTGGTCTATTGTGCGCACTATAACACTCTAAATACGGCATTGGAAATTTAAGTAATTTAGTTAATATATTTTTTGTGCGACTAAATAGAGTATAAGTTTGACAAAAGAACACACGAGGTCAATGAAACGAGAAGAGTAAGGATAATAAGTGAAAATGCAATAGGAAATGTAGAAAATTTAAATATTTAAGGTAATTTTAAAAAGAATCAGGTGGTATTGAAATTGACGTAAGCGTAGAATTAATTATAAGTGGAGATCAATAATGAGAAGCGTTTGGTGTTTTATGCAATAAGAGAATCCCAATGTTGGGCGGTTGACGAAAAAATAGAATATATAATGATTGTAATAGAGACGAGAAAGCTTAGATGGATGAATGGAGTGACTAGAAAAGATAGGATAAGGAACGAACATATAATATTGAGTATAGGTGTAGCGTCAATCGTGGATAAGATGAGAGAAAATAGACTTAGATGGTTTGGTCATATTACGAACAGAGAAGAATCGAAGCTGTAAAAACAGTTATAGAAATGAATGTTGAAGGAAGAAGAGGAAGAAGAAGACCAAAAAAAAAAAAAAACGGTAGCACAGTGGGGTCGAGGCACAGTATAGACGTGGCATAGATGAGATAAGTATAGATGATATCTGACAGTGATTAAAATCACTATCATAAGAAACGCTTCGATGCAAATCTGTAGATAGTGTTTCCTTTAGAGAAATTGGTGAAATATTTTAAAAGCAACATGAACTCTTATTTCTTTAATTATATCCTGATTAGTAGTTCTTTGATTTTAAAATATAATATATGAATAAATACTAATTATAGTTTTTAAATTTAGTATGAAATTGTGAGGCCAGCTATGATGTATGGTTCATAGTGTTGGGCGGTTGATAAGAAAGTAGAGCAGAGAATAAGTGTAGCAGAGATGAGAATGCTTAGTTGGATGAGTGGAGTGACTAGAGAAGATAGGATAAGGAACGAGCATATAAGAGGAAGTATAGGTGTTGCGTCAATCGTGGATAAGATGACAGAAAATAGACTTAGATTGTTTAGTCATGGTATGAGGAAAGAAGAATCGAAAGCTGTAAGAACAGTTATAGAAATGAATGTTGAAGGAAGAAGAGATAGAGGAAGACCAAAAAAGAGATGGAGGGATGCTATTGAATGCGATTTGAGGACAGCTGATGTGAGCGTAGAAGATGTGGGAGATCGTGTCAAGTGGAAGCTTAGGATAAGGGTGGCCGACCCCAAGTAGTTGGGATTAAGGCAAAGAAAAAGAAAAATATTACCAGATATTCCGGTGGCAATTGACATAATATGATTGTTATTTCGGAATGTACAATTTAGCGTTTAGTTGGGTTTAAATAATATAGCGTCAAATCAATTACCTACTCTATCGGTTGTATCTCAATATACACTACACTTTAATGATACAATAAATAAATAAACTCACACATACACACATATGCATTTATAACATTGTGTCTAATGTAAGTATAACATGATAAAAAGTAACCGTAAAATGAAAAAAATGGAATATAAATTTTATTACTCATATTAAATGTAATGTAACTCGAAAAATATTTGTTTAAATGAAAAAATATAAGATTATATTTTTATTTATAATTGTCTTTTAAACAACTTTTGTGCGAAACTTTTTTTTGTAAGTTAAATATTTTTTTTTGAGAAAATTAAGAAAGCTCATATTTTTGAACTTTTGCGAGGATTTAAAAAAAAAGCTCAATTCCAATCTTGAGGACTATTAGTATGTCATTATACATATTTTAATTCAACTTTTAAAAAAACAAAATTTTTTCCGCAATTTTTCCTTTGTTGACAGGCCTAGATGTCAATTTTAAACTTGTAATTGAGCTAAAAGTTATGGTAATATATTCAATTTATTTTACTATAAACTTTCATAAATCTTTATCAAAAATTTTTCATCAACTTTAAAGAACCAAAAAAATAGGTTAAAATTGAAAATTTGGACTGATTATTTTTAACATATTAAAAATCAAATCAGTAATAATTTGAAAACAAATTTTTTTTTCTTTTAATTATTATTTTATATATATAATTAGTAATAATATAAAAAATTAGAAGTGATAGAAATAGTCTACTTGCAGATTTGAAAACAACGCGAAAATTTGATTTAGAAAAGTATATTTTTGCTTCTGATGAAAGTTCCTTGTAGTCCAGTGCATTTTTTTATAGTAACAAACAGTTTTTATTGAAAATTATTGTATCAAGCCCTTTAAATTTTTATACACGTAAAAGTAAAGCAAAATATAACTTCTTTATTATTTTTATAATTTCTCCGTTTAAATTACAATATTAAATATCAATTTCATACTAAATTTAATAATTATAATTAGTATATATTCAAATATTATATTTTAAAATCAAAGAACTACTAATCATGATATAATTAAAGAAATAAGAGTTGATGTTGCTTTTGGAATAATCCACCAATTGCCTAATTAAAACAAAAAAAAAAAAAGTTTGTTGGGAATTTTTTCTGCTATTCTGCAAAATTACTCCTTCGTTGACTAGAATGAATCATTAAATAGAAAATTTTATGAGAATTAAAACAATGTTATTTTTAAGATTAATATGCAGTCAGAAAGTTTTATAATTATTATTTATTGTAAATTTATCAGAAAAACTCATTATTTTTTGCATTTTTATCGTAATAGAACACTTAAATAGAAATCATAGTAATCATTTCTAAGTAATTTTTGATATTTAAAAAGATTCTACTATTGAAATATCCAGAACTGAATTAATTTTAATGATTTACTTTAACTAAAAAAAAAAAAGTTAATATTTTGAATCCCTCTTGTGGGCAGGTAAAGGGTTAGATTTATAAAAAAAACCAAATGATAGATAAAGACATGCATCTAAATAAAAAAAAATATACTGATTTGGTCATTTTTGATAAAGTTATAACAATTAACAAAGTTATAAGTTTTATACACTGGACTACAAGGAACTTCCATCAGAAACAAAAATATACTATTCTAAATCAACTTTTCGCGATGTTTTAAAATGTGCAATTAGACTTTTTCTATAACTTCTAAGTTTTAATATTATTAAAAAATAGTTTTTACATATAAAAAAAAATAATTAAGAACAAAAAAAATTGTTTTAAATTAATACTGATTTGATATAATATTTAATATTAATTTGATTATTAATAAGTTAAAAATAAGGAAAATGACATATTTAACCTATTTTGTTAATCGTTTAAAGTTGATTGTTGTAAATGTTTATAATAAAAAAAAAAAATTTATTTTACCATAACTTTTAGCTCAATTGGTAAGTTTGACATTGACATAATTAAATAGAAAATTTTATGACAATTAAAAAAATTGTATCGTTAAGATCAATATGCAGTCAGAAAGTTTTATAATTACTATTTATTGTAAATTTATCAGAAAAGCTCAATATTTTTTTGCATTTTTATGGTAATAGATAACTTAAATAGAAGTAATAGTAATAATTTCCTAGGAACTTTTGTTGTTTGTTGAAAAGATTCTATAATTGAAATATTGAGAACTTAATTAATTTTAATGATTTACTTTAACTAAATGTACCAATCAAAACAAAGTTGTTAAAAAGATTTACTCAATTGAGTGTATTATAAAATTTGATTATATTTGTAAAAATCAATTGTTAATTCAGGAGAAAAAACAATCATTTTTTTTAGAAATGATTTATATAGCAACATGTTACAAAAAAAAATTGTAATATTATAGTCTAGTAGTAGCACACACAAATAGAGTAAAAAAATTATTAAATTACAAAGTAAAATGATTTAATTTTGTAGTTGAAACCTATCATATCAAACTTCATTCGTTAATAAATATTTTGAAAACATTAGAAATTAATGATTTTAATTGTCTTTATGGAGACGATGTAATAACTAACTGTTTAATTGATAAATTAGAATTTTTTTTTCAATTTTTGAGAGTAATATCTTCAACTAGATACGAATTGTAGTAATTTGACGTATTGTTGAAAAAAGTAGGTCAAGTTAGAGCAGAGAAAATAAATGATAGTCACAAAAAAATATCTTCTCGGCTTTGCATCGAAGCGAAAACTTAAAATATAGTAAAATAATTTTAATACGAATAAGAAATTTCTTCTTGCAAGGGGCGACTAAAGTGATGGGATCCTTGATCTTTATTGAAGTTATTGAATCTAAATGTGATAAAAATCAAACGAGTTAAAATTTATACTAACTTAAAAAGAATTAAGAAAAAATGCAAAAAATTCATTGCCATATGCGGGTTGGAACCTCGTACCCCAAGCGTGTAAAACATAAATTTTACCAACTCGGCAACCGTACGTTGCTTCCGGCGGTTGAAAAATTGGCTATTTAAGCTAGTTCAAATTTCAAAGTTATTTTTCTCGACTTAAAAGAAACAAACATATTTAAATAAGTTTAACTATCTATACTATATCAATTTTAATTTATATAATATTTATGAAAATCTGTACTCCCCTTGTCAGGTATTTTAAAATAAAATAAAATACAAAACCCAGAATTTTAACACAAAAATAGCATATTTTTGCATACGGTAGTCATTTTTACCATGAAGACAAATCCAGAGGTCAAATTTTTTTTTTTCACATTAAAGTATATTACATAAGCTTTAATTTAAGATATATTTAAAAGTGTCAGTATTTCCGGAATACTTTCAAAAATTAAATTGAAAATATCGTAGTAACAATACGCATGTTTAAAGTTTTGACCCCCCTTGTTAAAGGGGTATGATCCGATTTACAAAAAAAGCGTGCCAGATGAAAGGGGTATATCAATATTTATTATAAAAAAATAATAATATAGATCCATACATTTTTCCAAAAGTTATATAAAATATAAATTAAATAATATAACATATAAAATCGAGATTTTTTTCACGGAAATCGTACGTTTTTCTTTAACTTTGATGTCCGTTTTCACCACGAAGACAAGTCCAGAGGTCAAATTTTTTTTTTTCAAATTAAAGTATATTACATAAGCTTTAATTTAAGATATATATAAAAGTGTCAGTCTTTCCGGAACATTTTCAAAAGTTAAGTTGAAAAAGTTCTACTTTCTATACGCATTTTAAAAGGTTTGCACCCCCCCTGTATAAAGGGAAATGGTCCGATTTTAAAAAAAAGTATGTCGAATGAAAGAAGTATATATAAAGTATTTATCATTAAAGAATAAAGTTGATTCATGCATTTTTTAAAAAGTTATAGCAACATAATGTTAAAAAATGTAAAATATAATATCAAGAATTTTTTCACAAAAATAGCATATTTTTGCATACGGTAGTCATTTTCACCATGAAGACAAGTCCAGAGGTCAAATTTTTTTTTTTCAAATTAAAGTATATTACATTAGCTTTAATTTAAGGTATATATAAAATTGTCAGTCTTTCCGGAACATTTTCAAAAGTTAAGTTGAAAAAGTTAATTTTTTGTAAAAAAGTTACCATTTTGAAACCCCATCCTTTGGGCTGTTAAAGGGTCAAATGTTCACAAAAATATATAAAATGATAGGTAATTATCTAAGGTATCTATAAAAAAAAAAATTATATTGATTCGGTCATTTTTAAAAAAGTTATGGCAATTTTAAGTAAAAAAAATTGAAAAAATATCGAAAATTAGCGATTTTTAAATTTGTAATTTTTTGGGGGATTTCCCCCGTTTACGGGGAACGAGGGAATTTTTTTCAATTTTTGAGGGTAATGTCTTCGACTAGATACGATTTGTGATCTTTTGACATATTGTTCATCAAAATCGGTCCAGCGAGAGCTGAGATTGAGCGTTCACAGACACAAAAAAAAAAATAAAAAAAAATAAAAAAAAAAACACATCATAGTAAAATTAATACCTTCTCAGCTTCGCATCGAAGCTAAAAAGAGATTAAGGCTTGGAAAAAGAAGAAGAGGATTTCAGCTGTTCATAATATTTTATTGTTTAAAAACCATCATTACTCTTTTAATAATTTAAATTTTAAAAAGGTTGATAAAATTGACTCACTTTTTTGTTTCTTTTATCTACGCTCTTAAAATAAATTTGTAGTCAGGTAGAAATAATTTGATTAGGCTTACATGGATTGGTCATAATATAAGGAGAGAGAAATCGGAAGCTATAAGAATGGTTATAAAAATAAACTTTGTAGGAAAGAAAAGAGGAGGAAGTAGAAGATCGAAAAAGAAATGGTAGGATATGTAGTTAGGGGTGATATGAGGACTGCTAGCAATTGTATGCTAATGTTGATGTGAGAAATCATGTCAAGTAGAATTTCAGGGTACAGGTAGTTGAGATATGGGCAAAGGACACGACAATATTTTGTGTGACTATAGGACCAATAAAAGGTTATTAAAATTGTTATTGCTTCTAATTCACTCAATCATTTTAAGATAAACTTAAATAATTTTTATCTTTACGATTTATTTTTAGATTTAGTAAACTTGCATGTCCCAAAACATGTTAGTTTTTCAATTCCAAAAGATCAAATTATCATAACTTAGTATTAACTTCCAGTAATATTGAAATTTATAAATTTATTAAAAAATTGGTATTATTTATTCGATACGAGTTTATTTATAAGAGTTCGATAGCTTTTTTATTAGCTTGTTATGGTAGAATTTGATTGGCTGACCATTAGGCATGGTGACCGCACTGTCCAAGAGACCGGCGGAGACCTTATCAGCTGTAGCACCAGATGACAGTAGTTTTGGTGGTGACCGTGGAGACGGGGTTAAGGGAAAGCAACCAAATCAAACTCAAGGTGAAACAGAAGTTCACCAAGCAGATCCGGTGGTTGAAAACTCACCAGGAAATGGTATGGAATTTATGGATTATGTTTTAATTCTTCATATCAAAAATACTCTTATCATTTTGTCTCAAAAAAAAAAAAAAAAACAGTTGTCGTGGATTTGACTCAAACATTTCTAGTTAAATACTTTCAATATTATAGAAAATTTAATTTTTATTTAAATTTCTAAGTATACATCACTACATTTGAAGTAAACTGATTAATAAACTAGAATCTTCTAAATTTTATGTTAAGTAATTTTTGTAAGTCACACAGTATCAGTTCTATCATCAACAGGTAAGAAGAATATACTTAAGGTTTATAAGCATGTATTAGGTCGTCAGTAGAAATAATAGTACGCAGAAAAATTATTAATTTATTAATTAAAAAAAAAATTTACAGGGGAACAAGATTTTCGAGTACTTACTTTAGCTGAACAATTTATTGCAGCAATGCCTGAACACATAAAGGTGATTGCTTCATTTATAATTGAATATTGTTTAAGAAATTTTTTGTAATAATTAATGAAATTATTAATTTTAAAAGTTTTATACTAGAAAATTTCACGTGACTAAATAGGTGTTTGTGTTATAACACAAGTTCAAAATGTTTATTTTTTTGTCACAATTTATGGAAGAAATTTTATTTATTAACTAATTTATAGATAGTTCTTAACTTGTTAAGCTAATAAAACTTTAATTTGATACAAATTTTAAGAATATAAGTTTTCTAAATCTTGGTAAAAATAAAAAATTTTTTTTCGTAAAGCATTAAACTTTTATTAGTATATTTATCTTGAGAAAATATTGAGCAAAAACTAAAAATAATTATGATACGGTAAAGAACTTTATTAAAATAACTCCCAAAACCACATCATACTAAAAGTTAAGTATTTTACAGTTTTCATTACTTAATTTAATCAACAAATATTTTGTTTTTCTTTATTATTCTAGAAAATATTTTACTAATATTGTAGATTAATACGGCTTAAATAATAATAGATATTTAACTGCCATAAGTTTAACCACCTAATAAATGTCACATCGAAGCATATAAATAGTAACATTTTAATGGTACAAAATTTTTAAAACAAATTTTTTATTCAAACTTGAAACTATTATAAAATAGTATCTAATAAAGTTCCACATTTATTTTCTTTTATCATATTAACTTTACTCTCGTTTAAAATACACAAATTTCTTTTAGTAAATTGTAAGTAATTTGTTTTCTTTTCTATTTCAACAATTTGTTTTTTTGCATTATCTAAATTTCTTATTAAATCATTAATATACTCATTTAACTTTTCTGAAATCTGCAAGTACATTATAATGAATTATAAATAATAAATATGCAGTAGTTAATAACTTTAAATTTCATGTAAAATATAATTACAAGTTCTAATTGTTCAGATTCAGTACACGAATATGCTTTATTTTCAGAAATTTGCTTTTGAAGTTTTTTTATAGTCAACATGTATATATCAGTTTGCTCTTTTAATAAATTTTCCAATGACGATATTTGGGCATTAGATTCTTTTTTAATTAAGTTTAATTCAGATTTCAACTGTACAATACTATTTTTTGTATCCATATAACGTTGTTCAATTTCAGAATGTTCTTTTTCTAAACTTGCTAATTCATCCCTAAAATGATAAAGTTTATCTGAGTTATTGGAAAAAAATATTGAAGTTAGTTTAGCTACAATTAGTGGCATTAAATAATTAATGTTACGTAAATTCAACATCATAAATTGTAGCTAAATTAAATTTAATATTTGTTTTTGTTTGGCATCATTTTTTAACGTACTTATACTCTGTATTTCTAGCTTCCATAGCTAAAATTTCAGGCGTTTTCATTGAATTCAAAATTAATTTTTTTTTTCTATCCTTCTAAAATATTAAGTTCATACATTAAGGAAAGATAATATATTTTTAAGAATTCTTTATACTATTTCTTTTAATTGAGTACTTAAACTTTCAATTTCTTTATCTAATTCTGTTTTTAATTTCTTTTGCTCTGATATTTTTGCTTGTGTTGCAACTAACGCAAAAGGTAAATTATCGATTTGTTTTTGTCGCTTTTTGTAATATTCCTAATAAAAATGTATATTTTTAATAATAATTTTTTATAATAAAAAAAAACCCAGCACAGTAGGATGACGGCACAGTGGGATCGTGGCATATTTGGGTCCAGTATAGATGATATCTTACAGTGATTAAAATCACTATCATAAAAAACGCTTCGATGCAAATCTGTAGATAGTGTTAAATTAAAAAAAAAAAATTTGTTAAAATAGCCTATTTTTGAATATGGCAGCCATTTGCGCATAGAAGATAGGTCGTCGGGACAATTTTTTTTTTTTTCATTTTATAGTACATAAAATAAGCTTTAATTTGATATATGTTTAAAGAACACAGTATTTCCGGAACATTTTCAAAAATTAAGTTGAAAAAGTTAGTTTTTGTAAAAAAGTTGCCATTTTAAATCCCCCCCAATGTGCAAGTTAAGTGTTAGATTTTCAAAAAAATGATATCAAATGAAAGGAAAATATTTAAGGTTTTATTATAAAAAAAAATTATGTTGATTTGTTTATTTTTGAAAAAGTTATGGAAGTTTTAAGAAAAAAAAGTGAGAAAAATGACAAAATTTATGGATAATTAAATTTGTAATTTTTTTGGATATTTCCCCCATTTGTGGGTAACGAGGGAATTTTTTTCAATTTTTAAGGGTAATGTCTTCAACTAGATACAATTTGAGATCTTTTGACGTATTTTTGAAAGAAATCGGTTCGGTGAGAGCTAAGAAAGAGTGGTAACAGACACAAAGAAAAAACACATTATACTAAAATTAATATCTTCTCCGCTTCACATCGAAGCTAAAATGTATATATTAATAATATTAAATTATAAGTTTTTGATAGTATATGAACTGTTTATTAATTACTGTAAGACATTGATATTTATCTTGCCATTCTTTTGTTAATCTAGCCTTTTCACGACATAAATGTTCGTTTTGAATTTTTTTTATTTCTTTTTGTTGTAAAGCATCCATGTACTATTTTATAAAATAATTAATTTTTTTATACGAGCAATTATTTAAGTATAATGTTAAATTACTTTATTTTTTTTAATTTCTATTTCGCTTTTTTGATATTCAGCAGTTGACTGCAATGATTCTAAACGGTTTTTACTTTCTTTAATTTTTTCAGCATAGATATGCATAGTATTTTGAAATTCATCGTCATTAGGTTCAGTCATCTAGAATTTAAACAATATACTATTATAAAATTAATATAATGTTTATAAAAAAGAGTACTTTTTTAAAATTTGCAATTTTTCTAGATTTATCATGAATTTCTTCTTTGACTTTTGTTAGTTCATTATTAAATAAAATTGTTTGTTTTTTTGTATCATCTAATTGTACACGATACTTAGATATTTCTTGTAGAATTGAACTAAATTTAAATCATCATAAGCTTTGTATTGATTATAAATATTGAAGAATATTTCAGAGATAGTTAAACTAAACAAATATTAAGAGAACCTTAACTCATTTTAATTCTATATCTTAGCTAAAAGTTAGTATAATTTCCTTTTTTTATAGAATATCGAACTTTTACTCGAATTCATCCTGTACATTTTGATAACAATTGTTTAACTGCTCAATACTATTAGTCTTAGATTGATAGTCTGTCTCTTCATTTTGGTTCTATAAATATCAATATTTTTATCAAACATTCATAATTTATAATACTTAATAGATCTTATTTACAGGATATTCGATAGAATGTAGTACATTTTTTACAATTTCTAATCGACCTTGTTCTGATCGCAACTCATACATTTCCCTTTTTAATCTCATTATTTCATTGGTCATAATATCAATTTTAAATTGCTAAAAGCTTTTCAATTAGTATTTTATATTTTTAGAAGTTTAATAACTATTTACCATTTCTTTTTTACCCGGAAAAATTGTCTCGCCTGATTTTGTTTGGTTAAATGGTGCCTATAAAAAAATATAAGTGAGTTCTGTAAAACTCAAATAAATTTATTTTTAATTACTTACTCTAGCACGTAATAATTTAGTGAATTTTAAACTTTTCTTATCCTGTGAAAATAAATGTCATTATATAATATAATAATGAAAAGTGTAACTAAATTTTTATTAATGTGTATCCAGCGTGATTTTTTTTAATGTTAGTCATTCTATTTTTTCTAAAATAATAAAATTACAGACATTTTTTGATTTTTTTAAAGTATTGACATATATTTTGATTTATTAATTCTCACTTTAAAATATAAATAGGTTTGAAATGTGAACAATGATTATTTTTATCATCAGACATTTTTCGTCCACAATCGTACCGCGATATAAAAATTTTCATATCATCTGTAATGTTAAAGTGATATTATGGAACCATTTAAAAATATTTTTAGTTACATATACTTTTTCGATAGAAATCATTAAATTTTTATTGATTCCAACCCTTATGACTTGTAAGAATGTCAATATTATATTTTAAATGCCAGCATACTTATTTAAAATGTTCAAATATTTGAAAATTATAAAATTAAAAAAATAAATATTTAAAAACATATTATAATATATTATAAATTTTTGGCGTACTTCTCTCTCTAGATGTAAAATATTATATATATATTAAATATTATATTATATTTTATAATGCTTAAATGGTACCCATAATGAATATATAATAACTCAATGTACATAAAGTTATGTGTAAATAAAAAAGCAAAAATAATTGTATGGTATTATTATTAATTTAGAAGAAAACGAGTGGCTCACATTAATAGAATCACGCTGTACAGGGTTATTGATTTTTCGTTGACCACATGATTTCTCCATGTATAATAATTATATTAGAAAAAACTTTTTCATTATTTATATATATAAATCTTTTACACCTTATAAGGGTATCAATTTTATATTAGTTTTGATGCGAAACTGAAAATGTATTAATTTTACCCTATCGTTTTTTTTATTTTTGTTACCACAAACGCTTAACTCTCTCTAGACTAATTTTGTCAGAAGATCGCAAATTGTAACTAACTAAAGAAATACTCACAAAATTTCGCTCTGTAATTTTAGAAATACTTTACTTGTAACATGTTATTCTTTCTTGTAGATATATTTTTTTAGGGTCTAATCCTTAACCTACTCAAGAGTGGGATTTAATTAAGTTTTGGAACGTCCCGGAAAAATTGACACCTTTATATATCTTGAATTAAAGGTTGTGTAATATACTTAATTTTGTAAAAATAAATTGACCTATGGAATCACATGTTTTACATAAAAATGGACACTAAATATGAACAAAATGGACAATTTTTGTGTAAAATCAAAAATTCCGAAAATTTATTAGAATTGTTTTACCAATATTTTTCTAGGTAGGATATTTTACAATTTAGTATATTCTATAGGCGTATTATGAAAGATAAAATAGAGTAATATCCCCCCTTACCACCATAAAAGATTTTTCGTGAAACTATCTTTGCGCAATAGATTTTTTGTTTTTTAATGAAAACATATAAGTTTACTACTTTATGTAGTAGATAATTTCTTAATTTAAAAAATGACTGCTCGATAACAACTTTTAAATTAGTAGTTTATCAATTATTAAGTATTTATAGCAGTGACTGGTGTGTAACGCGGGTAATGTTATTTTTATCATTTCTCTTGCTTAGATTAAACTATTCATATTTTCTGAAATAATGATTCAGAAATTGTTATTGACCTGTAATATTTTTAATTAGATTATGTTTTAATAAGTAGGTTTCTTAAATATATATGTTGTAATTTAAAAAAATTAAATTTGAATCATTAGGCATAAAGAATTGCCCTATACTCAATATTTATAAAGTAAGAATCATATGTAACCCTGTTTTTTTTACACGACCGGCATTATTGTGGGCCGCCCTGGAACTGCCGTGAGGCATTACTACAGGGTCATATGTAATCCATATAATTACAAAAAATTGGTTCTTAGATTATTTAGCCATGTCATGTTTCATATATTTATTATTATTATTAAGAAGATATAATTAATATTGAAAAAATACTTCTTCTACTAGTTTTGTTTGGAGACAATCATTCTGGTTTTCTATCAATTTCATATTTGTTTTTAATTCTTCAATAGTATCTTTAATTACATCATTCGATATTTCATCTTTATCTTTATTATACTCCAGCGCTTGAATTTGATTTAATTTTGAGATATTTTTCAAAACATCATCACATTGGTCTATCTGCGCCTTAATTAACCAGAAGAATGATTTATTAAAATTTTACTACCATCTACTGGGTTAACACTATCAAAGATTTTGATAAATCATAAATTTTAATATTTACATACATTACAATTGAATGTATGTTTTGCATCTAGGCATTTAAAGTCTATAAAATCAATTTTTAATGACGAGCTTAAATCTTTTAAAATAGATCCAAGATTATTTACTGCTACATTGAGATCTTCTTTTAGTTTTTTTAATTGATCTGAGTTTTCTTTGGCGTGTTCAACCTATTTTTATTTACAGTTAACACCAAACGTTTTATAGTTATCATTTTATACTTAATACTAATTATACTTTTATATATTGATATATATATACCAACATTTTGTACTTTTACTATTATTTTATTCAATGTAGTTATGCGAGCCGTAAGTTCTGTTGCATTTTGAAGAGAATTTGTTATTGATTTTTCACAATTTAATCTATTTTCACAGCTCATGTTAATATTAAAGATCTTTTTTTAGAACTCTTATAGTAAAAATTAATTGAATAACAATAAGTAATATTTGCTCTCAATTGTTTAAAAAATAACTTTTAAATTAATTTGTTTACGTTTAGAAATTATTAAGAGCCAATAAGGTGAAATAATAAAATAAAATAATAAATGTTATAGAATGAAAATAAATCATGTGGTAGTATTTCCAATCCGTTTTTATTTGAAGTTGTAGAAGATCCGGCATCATCAATATCATCATGCTGTTTTGAATTGAAATCAGCCCACAATGAATGTAATGACGAAGTGTACCGGTAATTTATTAACTTTTTTCAATTAAATACAGGATTTTGGATTTGTTATATAAATCCGATGATTAATCCAATATTTCTTATACAAGTCATATAAAATAATGTTTTTTTTTAAAGACAACATGAAAGAGAAAGTGAAACGCCATCATCAAGTACGAGTATAAGCTTAAGCCCAATGTCAAGTATATCACAGTACTCACCATCTTCACCGCCTCCTTCAGCCCAAGATTTATGTGAATTTCTTCACGCTTCATCGAATAATCAGTTTTTTGAAAATAATTTTTCTAAAATAACACTTTCTGGTAAGCAATTATTTAAAAATATTTAATTATTATTATTTTTTGTATAATGATTTTAGCCATTGAACAAAGAGAATTATACGATGCTGCAAAAACTATTCAAAAAGCGTACCGGACTTACAAAAAAAGAGAAGAGCATAAAGAAATGATAGCTGCTTCAGTTATTCAGACATGTTATCGCCGTTATAAACAGGTTTGTTAAATATTCACGTAATAGGTGCAAAATATATCATATTTTTATTATTATTACTCTACAAATAAGTTATAATCTTATTAGTTGTAAATTGTTAACATCAAAAAATTTATGAAACTATATTTGTACTGTATTTTTAGTTCGCATACTACAAACAAATGAATAGAGCTGCTATAGTAATACAAAAACAATTCCGTTCATATAGGAGAAATAAACGATGTAAAAAAGATATATCTCGTTATTCTAATAACCCGTCCACAACCATTAAGTATGTATAAAAAAAAATAGTGAATTTAATTTTGGTCACTTTTTTATGTTTTGTTATAATTTTAAGAAAAAGTCAAACACAAAAACGGCATAACCAGGCAGCTAGAAAAATTCAAAATTTTATGAAACATAACAAAAATAAGTATGAGAATTTAAATAATAAATTAAATTAAATTAATTTTTCTTTCAACAAATTTTTTATATCAGTAATATAATAATTTGATCTCAAAATAAAATAATTATACAAACACTACAAAAATATCTATTTAATATAATAAAGTTATTTTCTTTTTTTTTTGCAGTATGTCTCCTCCTATTATTGTAAGTTTTTATATAATCAGATTAATCTGTAATATTAGTAGAAAATTTAAAAGTAGTAAATGTGTAAATATAATATACGTTGTACATATACAGAGTAATTTTTTTATCATAACCTTGTCTTGGTAAGGGTGACAATTTTGACTTTTTAAGTAAAAAAAAATATTTGAAGTTTTTTTTGATAATAAATAGCGTTTTACTATTTTTAACTTAATATGTTAATAAGGCATATAACACTTCAAACATTAGAATTATTAAATTTATACATGTATAATATACAAGAAATGACTAATACAGGGAGCTAATTACTTTTTACGACAGATATGCCTCTATATTGTTAGTTGGTGTAGTTATAAATGTTAACTTACGCCATAATGCCTTATAAACTAAAATATTACAAAAACGTTGCTTATCTGTGAACAGCGTAACCAAAAAAAAAAAAAATGTCAAATTTGTTTTTATTTTGCCTGTAATTGAGTGGACTATAGTAAAAAAATCACTCTGTATACACTAATTGAAAAAGAAAGGTGTTTTTTTTTTAATTTTTTTAAGAATTTGTAATAATATTAAAATTTTTTTTTAGTGTGACTTGTAGGAAGAAAAAGCTTCAGAACTTTTTCTTCTTCTCTATTGTTTTCTTCTTAATGTCTCGGGTTGAGAACCATAGTTCACACCTTCACTAATATTTATATTAGTATTATTTTTCATATACCAGCCTTTGATCTACATTTCTTTTATACACATTCGCTTTAAGTAATTATGTATGCAACTTAATCTTTTTCTCTCTTTAAGACATGGCTCAACAATATCGTTTTAAATTTAGATGATCGGTCTATGTTTTTTATTTTTAAAAATGAAGTAAGATATTAAAATACATTATTGAAGTCTGATTTTTTTATCTACATAAAAATAATTTAAATTTAACATATTAATATTAATTCATAGCGTAATTACATTAGCTTCAACATAAGATATTAATCGTATAGATTCGATATAATATCTAAGCAAAAATTAACTGACGCTACAATTATATTATATTGTAACATTGTTATAATATACATGCTCTAAAAAAGAATATTAGTTTATAAGTTAACAGATAAAATAAAATGAAATTTTGACGACTCAGTGATATATGGTACCATAATAGAGCAACTTTCAGAAAAACTGGACTATTAACATACATAAATAGAATATTTGTTAAAATAAAATAGTGAAAACAGTATCAAATTATTTGTATATATAATATTTTTAAATAATAAACTTAAATGATAAACTTCACTTCTATAGATAACTGAAAAAATTTTTGTTTTACCAGTACAGTATTATATGTTAATTGTAAATTTTTATTTTATACTTAAATTAGTTAAATTTTGTTTGTACTCAAGGAAACATTTTTTTTACTTATTGTGAAAAATATCTTGAGGTGACTAGCACCAATAAAAAATGTTAAATATTTTTAGTTTATTAACGTTTCCTTTTTTTCAAATTTAAACTTTAATACAGAGTAAATCTTATAACTCTAGCCATTAGGTTTCATATTTAACTAGCTGTTAAACAAGTAAATAATCAAATTAAGACAATTATAAGAACTATTAACTCTTTTTTTCGGAAGTCATTACTAATGATGGGAAATATCGAATAGTAACTATCGAAATTTTTGATAGTTTTTCACTATTTGAACTACCCGATAGCCATTCAAAAAATATTCGATAGTTACACGATATATTCGAATAGTTTTAAAAACTATTCGATATTTTATGCTAAAAATAAACTACTAATCGGTTGTATTAAAACAATTCAAATACTATTCGATAGTTTAAATTATTCGAATAAACCCTTCACTAGTTATTACTATTTTAAAATATAGAATGGAGGTGAGGTGTAGGTATAACAACATTTATCGATCGAATTTCTCCTTCTGTCCAGGTATAAAAATGTTAATAACTTTTAAAGTGCTGATTTAAAAGTTGTTATTGATCAATAATTTTCTCAATTAAATAATTATATATACGATGTAAAGCCGAGAAGGTAATGGTTTTGTGATGATGTGTGTGTGTGTGTTTTTTTTACGTCTTTCCATGAAAAATGTAATAATAGAAAAGTAAAATTATGTGAGTTATTAATCAAACTGGGATGTTGTGTTTGGTAAAATGGTTTACATTGAGGTTTTGTAGGGGTTCGTAGAATTCGTAGATCTCTTTTACGAGGTTTAATAAATAAATAAATTGAAGAGGTCCTTTAACAGCATACCGAGGTATTCGTGGAGTGATGGAGGTCTCCTCTCTGTCACATAGTCGAAATGCCTATTATTAAGGTACGACCTAGTCAATGATGATTAATTCAAGTTTGAAATCATTATGAATATGTTTGATTTATTGCTTCATCATTTTTATGTCAGTTTATTAAATCTAAAGAATTGAGGTAATGTAAATACACTATTTTGTATTTTTTTGTTGATCGCTATTTCAACTATAATTCGGAACGCGTGAAGACAACTTTATTGTTCACTTTTGATTTTTTAAATTATAAAAGTTAGATATAAAATGTTAAAACGTAAAATGTCACACTATGTGCATCGACGACAACACTGGTCCGCAGGTAATAATTTTTTGTGGGAATGTCAGCATTCCAGTAAAACTCGAACTGAATTCATAACTCGCTCTGATGTGCGAGTAGAACTGATCCTCGTTATATTATCTTTAATTCTTATCTTGGGATATTGTTGTCAGTACTTGGGAATATTTGTTTATTGTATTAAATTTTGAAGAAAAAAAATTCCTTAAATTTAGAAGTTTAAAATAATATTTCAAAGTTACAAAATATGCAAGTTATTATGAAATTTAATACATTTATCTTGAAGCATTTTTTATGATAGTAATGTTAATCAATGTTAGATACCATCTATACTTGTCTCCTCTGCGCTACGTTCCCACTGTGCAAAGTTTTATTTTATTTTATAACCGAGTGAAATAATATTTAAATAACTTAATATGTATATGTATAATCAATGCTATTGTTTTATTTTTGTTTTGTGTCTTGAACAAATCACATCTTGAAGTAACGAGGCATTGCTTGTGTAACGATTATATGTATATTACCATTAAAGAAAATAAATGACACCATTATAAGATATAAGAGATTAACAAAAAAAAAGTACTTTGATAAATCAAGAAATTTATGAAACTAAAATATATTTAAAAAAATTGTTTTAATATTATTATTATTTTAAGAGAAATTGAGTGGCTAACGTTAAAAGAATAACTCTGTAAAAAAATATTACGTACAACAGTTTTTAGTTTAAGAGAAATAAACTTGAATTATTTACTATTTCAGTTTAATGAAAGGAATTTTATCAACCGTAAAAGAGATGCTGGTTCTCAACCTAACAATGTATATCCACCAACAAAGGTTTCTCAATACTCAACGGTACAGCAATCTTCAAGCTAAAACTGTCTAAATGCCAAAAGGCTTCCTGTTCAGACGATCATTAAACTATAAATTTTATAGTTTACATTAGAGCTAAATGATATAGCGTAATTATTTCTTTATAAAATAGATATTATTAATATGTTTTACATGTCATATTATAATTTGCCATATTTTTTTTTCATTTAAACAATCTTGAGATGTTTTAAATTAAATTTAAAAAAAATAGTTTCCTGAAATTATAAACACGAAAATTTTTAATTCAATAATTTCAATTAATCACTTAGTTATGACAAATGAATTTTTGTTATTATTCTTAATAAGAAACTTTATAACTTTTAAGTATTTATTTATTTATTCAAATATTACGTAAAAGTTGATATCTCTGATTAATTCAATCGATTAGAACATTAATGAATAAAATTAATTTCTAAAATTTAGATAAATAGAAAAAAAAATTAATCTGTTTTATTATAATTTTTGTTTTAAAATGTAATATTTATGAAAATTCTCCAAATAAAACTAACAAATAGAAACGTATATTAATCATTATTAATAATAAAACATACCACATATTTTGTTGAAAATGTTAGTATTTGAAGTTTAATGTTATATTTAATAACTTACTCTGAACATTTCAATAATTCATTATATTTATTAGAACATAAAAAGCTAAAATCTTTTAAATCCATTACGTTTTATGCATTAATGCTCATTAAAAAATATGATGAAGCTCTAAATTTTTCTTTATTTTACACTTATGGAGTCTTTAAGTGTATTTGATCTTCAAAATTTATTCAACATTAAAGGTATAATTATTAAAAATCAGCAAATATATAAAAGTTCTTAATATATATTTTTTAATTGAATCTTCAGATTTTTCTATAGAATCAATATTTTATTTTTTGCGTTTGTTAAAAATGAATTTTTGCATTATATGTTTCTGAATATTTCATCATTTAGAATGAAATTTAAAAAATTAAACTAATAGTATAACTGACTTTTTAGAAGTTTTTTGAGACAAAAATATGCTACATTTTTTGAAAATCAAAATTTCATTGTTAAAATAAATTTTTTAAAACCTGTCATAAATAACTTAAATCTTCTATTATACTCGAATATAAAAAATCTAACATCTGCATTGATTTTTTTAAATTATTAATTTTTTTAGATTAACTAAAAGTTACCATACTTTTGAGCAAAAATACATTGTATTTTTTAGAAATTGTGTAACTTTAAGAGAACTTATTCTACAACTGATAATAGGTAAAGTTTTGATGATTGGTAAAATTATCAATATAATATTATAATATATTTTTTTTTGTACAATATATTATATTGTATAGACTATGACGTTAAATAAAATGATTGAATAATTCTTTAATAATATATTTATTAAATTAATATAAAAATTTGTTTATACAATATTCTATTACTCTTTAATTAAATAATTAATATTTAAGAACTAAATTTATTTATTTATTTTAGAATTAATATTTAAGAATATTTGTTATTTTTAAGAAATTTAATTTTGAGAATTAGAAATTTGTTGCCTTAATAAGTTCTTATATTTACTTAAATTTATTATCATTATATATTTTTCTATCAAATATTTTATTTGTATGCTTTAAATCAACTAATTTTTGTAGGTATTATGTATTTTAATAGAACTTGATTCGTCCAAATACTTATAAATCTTTAACATAATTGTACTTAAAAGTTTGTTTATTTAGTACTGCTCAATATTAAATTTAAAATACTTTTTTAATAATAAATACGTTTTTACTATCAGGAATATAATTTATATTTAAATGAATTACTATTATATTATATATTTACAATTTTCCTATTATAAAACACCATTTTAGCGTTTATTAACTATTGTAAAACTTTTAGAATGCCATTGAATTATATTTACGAATAACCTTTTTTTTTTTAATAAATTTTTTTTCTCTTATTTTATGTTTTTATTATTCAACCTATTTAATAGTACATAATTTACTTATTTTTGAGCATTTTTGATTTCTTGATACTAGAAAACTAAAAATTATTATTATTTACAATATTTTTAATTACTGAATATTTGATATATTCTGTACAATTGTATTTTTTATCATAATCTATTGTATTTTTAAGTATTGTACGGATTTTGAAATCACTCGAACACTATTAAACAGTTATAGTGGTACTATTCAAATTGTACAAGTTTAAAGTAAACTCCAGTTGCAAAAATATGCCAGGATGCTGAAAAATTAAATATGTTTAACATGTATCTTACTCGCCAAAAATATAAAAAACGCTATATTTATTGTAATTATTATGATCGAATCCTTCCGCGTCTGCTTTTGAAGACTTTTCCCAACGCAGTCGTGCTCTTCTCAGTTACCTTTAGCGATATGATTCTCATCAATTAAATATTGAACTTATTTTTTGCTATGCAGATTTGTCCATGTCAACCTTTCTTTTTAATTTTTTTTTCAATGTCCGGTCCTTAAAACAGTTCTTTGATTTCACAGTTGTCGTTTACGCCATTTTCCATGTAGATGTTGATACAGGGGCCATAGTTATTTCCTATGATTTTCTTTTCAAAAATTTTTAATATTGTATCATCCATTTTCTATGTATTAATAGTTACGAAATCTCCTCCTCTGAGGAAAGCCACTATAGCTATTTGTGGGCTTATGAAGCATTAAAATATATATATACAGACTGATTTTTTTATCATAACCCACTCATTTACTTATAGAATAAAAATAATTTAAATCTTTAACTATGTAGTCCTTTATGCCTGTAAGGGTGTTAGTAAATTAAAAACTTTGTTTTTTTAAATGGGAACACATATGTTTAATTTAATAAAATATTTGAGTTTTTAAACTAATAGTAAATGGCATTTGAATTTTTAATATAATTTTATTCGTTAATTAGATATAAAATTTTAGTTTCAAATTTTTAAATTAATATACATATATACTACACAAGGAATTACATATATACAGATAGCTAATTGGTCTTTTTGACGTCACTATCACAGTCACGAAATGTTTATTGTTAATTATGACTATCAATAGATATGCTTTTTGTATTGTCAGTTGGTGTATTTATAAAACCACAACAATGTTACTTATTACAATTGATAAAAATTGCTGCGTATCTGCCAATATTGACGTCATAAAATCCAATTAACCACCTGTATTTGAAATAACTCGTGTATTATACATGAATATTAACTTGAAGATTTCAAATTTTAAAATTTTATGTCTAATAAACAAAAAAAGAAATATAAAAGGAATATAAAAGGAATTAAAATTATTTATAAGTCACATATATTATGATATAATACATAAATATTTAACACAGATATTATTTTGTATTGTATTGTTACTATCAGAATTCAGTTTGTATTGTAAGTGGACATAAATTATCTTCAGCTGAGTCATATAGTTATTATAGGATTTCATATATTGGTAAAATATTATTTCGAATACCTTTAGAAATATACTTTTTTGAATCATTATATCAAATCTAAAAATTATTTTATATTTTACTTATTTAATAAAATATAATACTCTGCTACAAAGAATCAAAGCCAAAAATATTAAATATTCATATTTTGTATTATAAAATGTTATATATTTTCTTTGAAAAATATTCCTAATAATTTATAATATAATATAATTATTATGTTATAAATTAAAAAACGCCGAATACTTATAATAAACATTAATTTTAATATATTTATTCTAAGTTTTATAATTCATTAAAGCCTCTAATATTGAAGACTATATAAATTGCATGATTTAGATTCATAAATTTTTTTTTTAGATTTTAAAAAAGTATTTACCTTGTATTTAAAGAGTAGTTTAATTTTAAAATTACAAATAATTAATAAATGTTCAGAATTTTTCATATCAAAAGATAATTTAGTATGTTGTAATATCAACGCATATTACTTTTAAATAATTCTTAAAATATTTGAATATAAATTATAAGAAAAGTACAGTGTCATTATACAAAAATTGTTACAAAAAATGTAATAATACAAAAATTAAGATAAAAATAGGGTGGTATGTATGTATTGTGTATATTGACCAAGTTTATGTATGTTTGGAGATTTGGTCAATTGGTGAGCAACGAGGTTGTGTCGGGGTTGTAGAGTCCGAGGGTTTAGAACAATAAAGACAAGTAGTTATAAAAATAATAATTAAGGTTCGTCTTATAGAGATATTATAAATGATCCAACCAGAAAGTACCTGAAATAATACACTGAGGCAACGAAGAGGCGGTGGTCATCTCACGAATACCATCTAATGTGATTATGTAAAGGTATAAACTAGTCAGTAATGATTAATTATAGTTCAAAAATGAACATAAATATATCATCTATTGCTTTATCATTTTTCACTCAGATTATTAATTCTAAATAATTGGGTTAATGTGAATTTACTTACTTTTTGTGTATTTTATAGTGATTTATTATAATACTTTGTGTTTTAATTTCAAAATGTTTAATGATGTTCAAAAATGACCAACGTCCTTTTTGATGATTGCTTTATAGATTTCCGAATTTTCAGAAAGATAAATAAATGAGTTTTATACGCATTAATATGTACTAATGACAACATGGGGTCCCGGCTAGTTTAAGAAAATAAACTGGACAAAATAATTCTGAATTCTATATTTAATTCAAAATTGCTCTCTCTTAAAAAATCATTGTCTTTTTATATTATTTTTAATTACCCCAATCATAGGATGTATCGTCAGCGTTTTTAGTGATTTTCAGTTTCTTGTAAATTGAACATAACATGATTATTATTTTAAGATAATTATCAATTTAGCATGTATAATTTATCATAAAATTTTTTAACTATCCCCTTAAGAAATTTAGGATATAATAAACAATTTTTAATTGAAAAAAAATTATTAAAAATTAACAATTTATTTTTAACGTTTTGATCCATAGACTAAATGAGGTAATTTATTAGAAAAATATATTTTTTTCATATTAAAGCATGTTGTTTGTTTTTGAGCTATTTATGAAGTTTAATAACGTTAATTGTTATATTATTGATATGAAAGCAAAAAAGTGTGTCAGTTAGTTCCAGTTTGCCTTACTGAGGATAGTTAAAGATATCAGCAAACCATTGAATTTTTCTATTTATTGATTATAAAAAAAAATATTCACGATAAAAATTTTTTAACATTTTAGCTTGTTTTCAAGTTGGTTTTACTACAATACTTTTATTTGAAACTGGGCACATCAGACATTGTTATATGACAGACTTGGTCACATCATACGACTTTTTACTGCAATATAATCAAATATAATTATTTTTATTGAAAAATATTTTTTTTTTCAGCGTTAGAATAATTTAATTTTAAGATGCATGTTATAAATGAAATTATTTTTCACAGCTTTGCAAACACGCAAAACTGTAAGTGGATATAAATTATCTTCAGCTGAGTCATGCAGTTATTATAGAATTTCATACGATGGTAAAATATTATTTTGAATAACTTTAGAAATAAGTTTTTGAATCATTATATCAAATCTAAAAATTATTTTACATTTTATTTATTAAATAAAATACACCTAATACTTGTAATAAAAATTAATTTTAATATATTTATACAAAGTTTTGTAATTTATCAAAGCCTCTAATATTGAAGACTATATAAATTGCATGATTTATATTCATTAATCTGTTTTTTAGATTTTAAAATTGTATTTACCTAGTATTTAAAGGGTATTTTTATTTTAAAATTACAAATAATTAATAAATACACAGAATTTTTCATAACAAAAGATAATTTAGTATGTTGTAATATCAACGCATATTATTTTTAAATAAATTTTAAAATATTTGAATGTAAATTATAATAAAAGTACAGTGTCACAAAAATTGTATTATGTATCCAACTGATGGCATAAAAATGCTTTGTAATTTAAATATATATTTTTTTATGTAATAGTTATTTAAGTCATGATTACGCTTCCTTTTTTTATCACGACCGGCATTTTTGTGCGCCGCCCTGGAACTACCGTTAGGCATTACTTCAGGGTGGCCCACGCCATCTCTATAATTCACAACGTGATGTGTCCCCTTCTCGTTATCCGAAACACAGAGTGGGAACCGTTTGGCAAAATAACTCATAAGTCACAAGAACCTAAGGCCTAAACCAGCGTCTCAGATCCTCCTGTGTCGGGCGGCGTGACTGCCTCTGTCTCAGGTGTTCCGCTTCCACCTTCTTTTTCAAGATGGATCCAGCAAATGCCTGAACGAGCCTCCACGCCCCCCGGCTTACCAACATCAGGTCCACCATGGACCCTACTCAGAACCCAAAGAGTCCCGCTCCTGGGCCCACGCCTCGTACCGTAAGAGGGTGTAAATAATATGCTGAGGTATTTTTGCAGTAGTTGGGGTCTTGGCCTCCCATCTGACATGACGATGAGTGGTGAAGACCTCCTCTCTGACACGAAGTATACGATCAAGCACTAACTAATGATTAATAAGTAAATTAAATGATTTTTGAATCAATCTATTGCTTTACCATTCTTTACTCAGACTGTTAATTCTAAAGTATTGGGATAATACTAGTTTACTTACTTCTTTTAGATAATTTATATAAAGCTCGTCAATAGTTAAAATGTTTAAGTATGAAACTCTTTTTTAAATTGTACTAATACGCACACAAGAATTTTTTATAATGTCTCTTTTTATATAAATAAATAAAATATCTACACAAAATAATTATGCATCTATATCGTATTAAAATGTTCTGACGATAACACTTCAAAGGGTCACGGCTACTTAAGAAATGTAAACTTGACAAAAAAATTCCTAGCTTGCTTGCTAGCTCTTTCTGATGTATAAGCATAGCTAAGCATTTTTTATATTATTTTAATTACCACCATCATGGAATGTTGTAGTCAGTGCTTTTAGTGATTTTTAGTTAATTGTATTAAATTGAACATAACATGATTATTATTTTAAGATAAGATGCACAGTATACAATTATTATTTTAACATGTATATACAACGTGTATTATACATATAGAGTAAATAGTATACAACAGTGAATGTGCTATGACAGGTAAATTAATTATTGTTTGTTGTATACATAATATATAATATGTATAATATAATATACAGATTATAAATTGTTCATCAATAAATGTAAGAAGCGTAATGCAAAGCTTTGGGCATATTACAACAAATAGGTCACAAAAATATTAATACAGTAGAAATCATGTAAAAGTCTTAAAAATACGATATAACTGGTTTTGTTTATTTTTACTTATTTATTTTCATTTTGTTCTACACTTGTTCGTTAAAAAAAAAAAATCTAATAGATAAATTTTCTATGCCAACATACTAGATTTATTATTCCATGGTCAGTTAATTAATTATTAATCTAACTAAAGTTATTATATTATGACATTTTTTAATTAGGGGAAAAAAATTACTTACTTTTTGGTTAATATTTTGATACCACCAAATTACAACTATTTGATATCTCTTTGCAAGTATGTAATCTGAAAGTTGATAATATTTAAAAGGACAGAATCATATTTTATTAAAAAAATTTAGGCGTGGCGTAAAAAAAAACGAAGATTCGATTTTTGAGGGCCACTTTAATGAACATACATGAAGAGCGTTGATAATGGTAATAATATCGTAAATAATACACTTTTCAGTAATTGTTTGTAGCTTTTGAGTTTAATATTTTTTTAATTTTTAAATTAATAATATTTTAATATAGTTTTAATTTTACATGAAGAGAAAAAGTACATCATCACAAAGCGAAAACCTTATCAGTTATGCATCAGTGTTAAAATAAAGTTGACACCCATACAAGTTCTAAAAGAGATTAATCAAAAATAATTTTTAAATTATTTAATTTACTAAAAATAAAAATAATTTTTTTTTCAAAATTGCATTTATTTTGTGAGTAATTGAGTAATTTATAATAACAGAACTAAAAAGTATATAGAACATATTTTTATGAATTTATACAACTAATCTGATTTGAAAAGATGCAATTAATATAAGCAAATAATTATTAATTAGATAATAGGATTACAAATTAAATTAAAATTCAGAATTATGACAATAAAAAATGTTCATATTTAGATTCCATTACGCCTTGTTGTCATTATTTTCAATTATTTGGTACTCTTGTCGAAAATATCTGGCAAATAATTTTATAACACATTCATAGGTAACGAGATTATCATATTCTCTACGCTCAAATTTAACATCTGTACCCGTTTCGGATAAATTTTTAAATAACAAATCGGAGTTAATATTTTCTTCGAGTTTTTGTAGTAGTTTTACATTTTTATTTACTATCTCATAAGATTTAGAGTTTATGTGATAGAAAACGAATAAAGGTTTAATCGAATCCATACATTTCGTTAATTACTGTGAATACATATGATGATAGTGTGTATACATTACAAACTTGGCATAAATACCATGATAAGAAATTAGATAAGGCAATTATTACTTATCACTCTCATTCAAAAGTATATTGAAAAGATAGCGTTTTCTTCTGTCCTTTTCTCAATACGTATTTCAATGTTTATAACCGTAAAATAGTACATGAAAATTCAAAATTTCACAAACTTCAAAAAGCTACAGAATATTTACTACTGAATATTAATAAGATATTTTTTTACTAAAATTTTTCTTAAATTCTACTCTACAAAATAGCTATCTTAGATTTTTTTTTTACTTTTTATTTAAAATTTAAAAAAAAAAATTGGAAGGGTTCTTGGGAAATTAAAGCAATATAAAAAACAACCCAGCACAGGGGGGTCGCGGTACAGTGGTGACGTGGTATAGATGGATCAAGTATAATGATATCTGACAGTGATTAAAATCACTATCAAAAAAAAACGCTTCGATGCAAATCTTTAGATACTGTTTAATTTTAAAAAATTGGTGGACTATTCCAAAAGCTACATTATCTGCTAGTTCATTATTAATATCCTCATTAAGATAAAGTATGTAGAATGAAAAAGGGATCATTAAAAAATATTATATCTCATAAAAAAATAATGTTGATCCATACACTTTTCAATATGTCATAGCATTATAAAGTTAAAAATGTAAAAAATAAAATCGAGAATTTTCACACAATAATAGCATTTGGTAGCCATATTCACCGTGAAGATAAAATAAAGTCCGAAATTTTTTTTTCGCATAATAAAGTAAATTACATTAGCTTTAATTTAAGATATATATAAAAGTGTCAGACCTTCCGGAACATTTTGAAAAGTTAAGTTGAAAAAGTTGTCATTTTAAATCCCTCTTTGTGGGCAGGTTAACGGTTAAGTTTATGAAAAAAATATACCAAACGAAAGGTAATGATATTACACATCTATATAAAAAAGAATTATATTGATATGTTCATTTTTGAAAAAGTTATGGCACTTTTAAGTAAAAAAAATTGAAAAAATTTCGAAAATTAGCGATTTTTAAATTTGTAATTTTTTTGGAGGTTTCCCCCATTTACGGGGAACGAGGGCATTTTTTTCAATTTTTGAGGGTAATGTCTTCGACTAGATAAAATTTGTGATCTTTTTACGTATCATTGAAAGAAATTGGTTCGGTGAGAGCTGAGAAAAAGTGGTAACAAACACACAAAAAAAAAAAAAACACATCTTAGTAAAACCAATACCTTCTCAGCTTCGCATCGAAGCTAATAATTAATATTTTTAATAAAATGTAAAAAAATTAATTATTGAGATATAGCTATAGACCTAATGTCTAACTAATATTTTAAAAAAAAATCAGCTAAAAATATTAACTGGATCAAAAGTTATTTAAGTTGTCAGTGAGTGGTGGGCCACTTTGTATAAATGAAATATTTTAATTATTAATATTCGAATAATGAATTAATTAAAAAAAATTCAGCACAGTAGGGATGTGGCATAGTTGGGTCCAGTATAAATGATATCCGATAGTGATTAAAATCAATATCATAAAAAACGCTTCGATGTAAATCTTCCCACATAGCAATGAAATATTTCTAGAATATTCCTAGAATATTTATTTTTGATATTTAAATATTTCTAGAATATAACCAGAATATATTGAAATATTCTCACAATGTTCTCAGAATATACTTTGGCAGCGAATATTACATTCTCACAATATTTTAAAGGTATATTTATAAAATATTATAAAAAATATATTTTGACAATATTTTTAAAATGTTTTACAAATATATTTAAAAAATGCAAAAAAGTAGACCGCTACGCAGGAATGAACCCTGTACTTCTAGCTCTTTGGACTCGTACGTGACCCATTGATCCACAGGTTGCTTCGAAAGAAATAGGATAAAAAAGACTATTTAAGGTAGTTCAAATGGTTATTTGTCTGTTAAGTAATTTTTCTTGTTTAAAAATATTCAAAGTAAATACAATTTTATATTCAATTTAGATTAGATTCATATAATTTTTTTGAAAATCAGCGATCCCATCACCATGATTTCTCCTTGTAAGTTAGAAACTGACTATTATTGTTGATAATATAGAAATATATTCTAACTATAATAAAAAAACTTTTTAGTATTTTTAGTTTCACAG